GAGCAATGCAAAGTACTGCCCTTCAATGACTACAAATTCATTACAATTAGTAACATGTGATCCACGCTGTAACACTGACGTGAGTCTACGAGGTACCAGTTGAATGGTGAGGAGCACCCGGAAGAGCGGAGGAGACCTGCGGAGGTGGTGACAGAGGGGACCAGGACTTAGGGACGTGTCCAGTGGACAGTGATGAGAAGAGGACTGCTGGTAGGTGGGGACGATGGGGACAAGGCAGGTAGGGCACACGGGACAGCTGGGCCCTGTGGAGTGGTTGTCTTCTGTAGGCCTTGTAGTGTAGCGTTTAATGGTGCTCGGGCCCTGGCGTTCAGATCTCCCAGTCATAGCTGTGGAAGTACGAGTACGGTGTTGAGTTTCATGGTCCCTGCCGGAAAATAGAGGTTTTATCTACTTCTAGGGGTTCGGGGAAGACAAAGTGGGCAAAATCACAAAAGGCTTCTAGTAGGCGATGGCACCGTGCAGGTTACACAGGATCAGCTGGCCATGGAGACGCACTGTGTGACGGATGAGGGGCGGCCTCAGGGGACTCCGACAAGGCTGACTGGGGCTAAATTGTGATGGGCCTCGTGCGCCACGCAGAATAACTCGGACTTGACCCTAGAGTCATTTTGGAAAATTCTTGTAGGGTCTGGGGCACCCCACTGACTCAACAATGGCCTCGTTGGCCAATCCTAGGGGCCCTTTACCTACGTGACCCTTAGCACTGCCAATTTCCTTCTTGGAGATTTTTACTTAGTCTCACATGTACCATTTTTTTTTTCTTGGTTCCGTCCCTCTTTTGAGTCTTGTCTCTGTCCGAGTCATCCTCAGTCTGGCTGCCTGAGGAGTCTCTGTGCCATGTAACTGTGGTCACCTGACCTGATCAAACTTGGGCTGCCCACCCACTTCAGGTAACTCTGCACACGGTGTGAAGGAGACTTCAGGACTCCACTCCTGCAGACTCCTCTCCACTCACGTTTTCTGTGCCTTTGCATGAGCTCTTTCCTATCGTACAGAACTGCCAGGAAGTCCTGAGCTCTATTGCAATTGTTTGACTCCATCAATTTGCAAGGGCCGTGTGCCCTCCCTGGGAGATCTTTTTCCTTTCTCTACTGGGCTTGGTATTCTAAGGCATTCTTTGGCACTTCACCCAATGCCATGTTCACAATATCCTCATCTTTTTATTTTCAGGTTAAAGAGCCCTGTGCCGACTCATTGAACAAAGGAATAACAACTTGTTAGGTTTTGTCTCTGCTGCACCGGGGAACGTTCTCTGGAAGGGACCCCTGATTGTCGCTCTGTGGCCAGGCCGTGCTACCACGCACATTCTGTTTCCTAAAATCGTGACGCGTTGTTTCAGGGGCGGTTAACTCGCCGCCTGCACAGGTGCTTCCAAACTGCAGTTGGTACGGCGTGCGGGGCTAAGAATGGACCGGAATGGAGACCAATTATGAGTTAAGAATTTTTATATTGGGTTGGATCAGTGTTTGGATTATTTCCCTAGATAGGATTTTCAATTGCAAAAATGAGTCCATTTTAGGGATTTGAAGGGATTGGATGATTTTTAGCTCTTAGGAGTGATGGGAAAGCTAGGGCCCATGCCATGTCAAATATGTCATCCAGGAAAATGGACAGAAAGAAATATGCCTTGGCTTGTGTGGCTCAGTTGGTTGGGCGCCATTCCACAAAGCGAAAGGTCATTGGTTTGATTCCTGGCCAGGGCTCAGGTCTGGGTTGCGGGTTCAGTCCCCAGACAGGGTGTGTACGAACCAAATGATGTTTCTTCCCCCCTCTCTCTTTCTTGCTTCCCTCCTCTCTAAAAATAAATGAATAAAATCTATATATTTTCTTAAAAAAGGAAAGAAACACTCGGGCAAGTTAAAACAGGGGTCACCAGAAGGAATAATGTTGTTTTCTGCTTCTATTGTGCTGAGTCCAACTTGTGTGATAAAAGTTTTCTTTGCCCGTCGACAGCTGAAATGGGCTCCAAGGATGATTGGGTGACCCCCCATTTCTTCCCGAACTTGGACACCCTCTAAAAGCAGGGATGGAGTCATGGCTTCATGCATTTGATGATACGGTTCCAAAGACAGGATCCAGGCTCAGCTACACATTTCTCACAATTTTTGCAAACTTTCTTCTCGTCCTAAAGAGTGGTAAAAGTTCATGAACAAAGCTATTGGCTGAAGTTTGTGAACTTCTGGAAAATTAAAATACCCATGTAAGTTAAACAGCCTAAGATATGTCTTCTCAGTGTAAAATTAAGCATTTATCAGAAATGAGATTTCTACAGTTACAACAATGTTGAAAATACTATGTACCCACACTATACAAGTACTTGCATCCTATAAAAAACTTTTAAATTAATGGTAATATATTAAAGTGTTTCTTGTATTGGGGTCTTGGAACTATGAATCATGTTTGAGCTTCTTTCTAGATTTTTGTATTTTTCAGATATTCGTTCCTCTTTTCTCCTCCTCTCCTTTTTCCTTTTCCTTCCTTCCTTTCTTCCTTCCTTCCTCCCATTTACTGAGATCCTATTCTATGTTAGAGCCTCTTCTTGGCTGTGGGAAGCCATAGTAAACCCAACCCCCCCCCCCCCCACCAATTCCACCTTTGATTTTGTGGCAGGTTGGGGGATGGATTGGATTGGGGATAAGTGAGGATGGAGAACAAGTTGGAAGTGATGGTACCAAGTCCAGCCACAGGTGATGGAAGCACAAATCATACCAGTTGCTCTGCCCTGCTGCTTCTCACAGAAGCTCTTTCTGGATAATTTCATCTTCCTGCTTCAGGCTTCTGCTCAAGTGTAACTTCTTCCAAAGGAGTTCTAGCTCCTTAACTCTCTTACTTTGTCCTGCCTGACTCCTACCCCCTCTTGTAAATAGAGCTTATCCCTACCCAGCTGACGCCATAGGTCTGATGTAGGAACCAATGTCTTATTGGTCTATTTGCTTATAGTTGTCTTTCTTCCCTAGAATATAAGCATGCCACAGGGACTCTGCTTTTTTTGTTGTTGTATTCCTATCACTTAGACATGTGTCCATTTGGGACATAGGCAAGCTTTAATAAATGTTATCCAAATGCTTAAACAAACAATTGCTGAATCTATATTTTTAACTTGGACATCTCTCCTGAGCTCCAGATTTGCAGGTCCCATGCCAACTAAGGGACCTTTTAAGGATTCACTTCAAAGTGAGTCCTGAGCATCTCTGAATTCCATATGTTCGAAGCTTCTTATGATAGGCCTCCTTTCCCAACCAAATCTGGTTCTTGTGACATCCTCTCCATCCCGATCATTTATTTGTCTCTCAAGTCTTCAACTCAATGCACAGGTTCCTTCAGCACCACTTCTAGGAGAGTGCACGAGGAAGCAGGTGATGGGGGATGTCAAAGGAGTTAGGTGGGAAAGACTGTCCTGGGGCTGGTGTGTCATGGCACGGTAGCAAGGAGTGGCAGCTCATATTGTCTCTACTTGTTGATATTCCAATGCATTTGCTTGAGCAGTCTCATCTGATTGAGGGTTTTCTGGCCTGATGTTTATATTGAAATAGCACATTCTCTTCTAACTGATGAAACATGCTTCCTTGTTCTAAGTCAGAAAGACCTGCATGATGTAAAGCACCCTCTCTTTTCAATGTGGTTTATGAGAAAGGGATGGAACCACTGTGAGGGCAATTCTGTGTGCTTATTACCGATGATATTTTTTTTATGGAGGAGGGGGAGGAGAGGTCATTGAAAAACAGTAATGAATACAATTTTGCGAGTGTCAACACTAAAGTTTAATTCTATTCAGGGCACTTAAACAATAAGCACGCATGTTTACTTATTAAGAACATAACCTTTGAGTTGTTTTTAGTAGACGCTGCCTTTTTTTTTGCTGTGTGTCTCATTCATACCTATGAGAAATAAACCACAGGAAAGGACACTCTGAAGCTTCATCAAACCACACACACTTTCAAATTACAAGGCAACACTAGTTATGCTGGGGCGATCTCATAAACTCTATGGCTCAAGTTTCTGATTTCAAGGAGCTTGGAGGCGTGATGGAAAAACTTAGGGTACCAACCATATAATATTGCTAAAATAAATCACGTGTGTATTTTAACCTGTCATAGGATATTTTTACGTGTGTTCTCATCTGTAACTTTACTACTGGCACGCCTTCTTCCAGCAAACTGAATCACTGAGCCTACTTTTGTGCCTTAAAAAACTACAGGAAATGAAACCGCGGATGACACTGGGGTTTTGCAATCCCCACGTGCCCCTCCTGTACCTAAGAGGCTAAATCTTGTTTAGAGATGCTTCCAGAGATTAGAAGTCATTAGAGCTGAAGGAGCCGTAGGCCCTAGTGCATGTTGAACGCCATCAGGGGAAATACACGTCTCCAAACGCACAGTTCCGCACCTAAGGTTATTAAGCGTTCGAGGATGTGCAGGCACTGCGGGAGTGGGCGGGGCGAGGCGGGTGGGGCGGGGCCAGGAAGGCCGGGCGGATTCCAGGCCACTGGTCCAGGCAGGGCGGGGCCTGGCGGGGCGGGGCATAGTGGGCGGGGCGGGCGCTCTGCTAACGGTCTTTGCAGGCGGGCGCGTGCCCGCGCTCTCCGCTTCCGAGGCCCTTGGCGGCCTGGAGCGCGCCGCCGCCGCCTCCGTCTGCTCCTCCCGCGCGCGGTCACGGCTTCCTCTCGCGTTTCCTCGGCGGCGCCGGAGGCTGCTCCGGGGGCTGCGGCGGGGCGGCGCCTATGCGCGCCATGAGGATCCCGCCCTCCGGGCCCGCGCCGAGTCTCTCGGTGCCGCAGGGCCGGCAGTGACCCGGCGTCCGCGCGCTGGGGCGGACGCCGGCCCGCGGCGAGGAGTCAGGCGATGGGGGACAGGTACCCCGGGCCGGGCCCCGCGCCGCGAGGGTGGCCGCCACCGAGACCCTGGGGGGTGGGGCGCGTGTTGGATGGGCGCGGCCCCCCCGCGTGGTCCCCACTGAGGATCCCTTTGCCTTTTGCGCAGGTGGCTGCGGGTGACCGTCCTCCCCGGCTGCGTGGGCTGCAGGACCGTGGCCGTCCTGGAGTCATGGACAGTGCGGGACATCAAGGAGCGCATCCGGGCGGAGACGGGCTTCCCGGCGTCCGAGCAGCGGCTGTGGCTCGGCGACAGGGAGGTATGGCCCCGTCCCCTCGTCCTAGCGGGAGGGTGGGTCTGCGGTCGGTAGGCTTGCCGGCAGGGAGGCGGCATGGGTTTACTCCTGTGTCATTAAGTAGGCACCCTGAAAATAATGCTTTGCACGTAACGTAAGCGGGACACGGGTGCGTTCCTATCATTGTAAGTTTTACTGATTTACCATTCAACTTTGGAATCCCCCCCGGCCCCATTTTGTCTGAATCTTCACTTCCTGAAACTAAGATACTTTTTTCTGATGTGCTTTATAACCAGAGGGTGTTTTGCTTTGTTTTGTTTCTTTGTTTAGAGGCATTAAAGTGACTTAATCATTACTCATATTTTTCTAATGGTTATACATTGAACACTGATAAATATCCTAACTTTTTGATGTCTTGGAAGTAGCCCCACCCACAGTTTTGAATCAGAAATTTAGACTGAAAGGATCTTCAGACGTAATTTAATGAAGAAACTATTAATTTGAGGAGTACATTTATATTAAAACTTCTAAGGTGGAAGTGAATGACTTAGCAGATCAAAACTTTGGAAAAGAGTGGGTATTTCATATTGTTGTATGTATCCTTTAAGATGGGTGAAAATACTTAAGAGAGGAGTTACAGGAGACATATCATTGAAAATTAACCTATTTTATCCTAATAAATATATTTACTTTTTATGTGATAAAAGAACCTCATTTCCAGGATTTAAAAAGAGGCAAAAAAGAGTTGAACTGATACACAAGGAACACTTGAGCCATACAGAATGGCACCTGTAGTACAAGATTTCATTACTGTCCAGTGCAGATGTTGGTGAAGGACTTGGTACCTGTGATTTTTAATCCCTCAGTGTAATCTTGACCCTCAGTGTACCGGGGTCTACTCTCTGGTCACTTGCCCATTTAGGCCCAGATTTCCCATTAATCTGCTCTTTGTTCCCCAGCGGGTCAGTCCTCTGTGCCAGTTCCCCAGGGTGTTCGGTGGCGCCCAGACGGTGACAGAGCTTTGGCCAGAACTGAAGGGCAAAGCTCATCATCTGTATTCTTTTTCTGTACCTCCTCCTACTTTTGAACTTCCCATGTATACTCCTGGTTCAGTACCCACTTCTTTGGTTACCCCTTGAGTCTGCTTTGTCCACATGTCCCTCAGGTGTGGTTGTCCCCAAAGGCTCAATGTGGTGGGTCCTGCCATTAGAAGTGCCATTGGAGACGTGGTATGGTGCACATGGCAGTGGGGCGCTGAGTGGTCAGACTGCGTGGGTGGTCTCTCAGGGGTCTAGTTAGGAAGCTTACGCTAAGAGGAGGTAGCGAGGCTCTGGACTATGTCTATGCAGGTACACTGAAAGGGAAGGATGCGCAGGAGACCTGGAAAAATATAAAATTATGGCAGTTTGGTACCAAATGGATGGGGACGCAGATCGGGGGGTGAGAAGAAGAATAAGGCAGAAGGTCTCACTAAGGATGCTCAGAAGCCTTGAGTGAGGTCAGGAAAATACTGGCTCTGTTAGCAGAGATAAACACGTACAGAGGGGACCTCCTCCCGTTGGAGGAATGGTGGTGGGTGACCAGTTTGCTCTAGGATGTGGCTCAGCTGGTGCAGGGCATAAAAGAAACCTCTAGGAAAATGCATGCAGAGGTAGGTGACCCAGATCCTACTTCCAGCACTGCCCGAGTAACAGGCCGCGTTCACTACCGTGTGGGAATCTGCACTCTGTTTCTGGTAGGAACGGATCAGTGGATTCCAGCCAGCTCCAAGGTCCCTGCTGGGCAGGGGTCTAGACTAGGGGGTGGTCGACAGCAGACAGGCCTGTGACTGAAGCTCAAGGGAGGGATGTCAGGGCCGCAGACGCACTTTTGGGAAGCCGCTCTTCCCACACATTTCTCCTGCCATGTTTTGCAAATGCATGAGGAAGAGTATTCACATTTATTGAGCCACTCGCCAGTGCACACACTGTTCTAGGTACCTTGTGTGTATATATCATCTCATTTACCACTGAGAACAGCCTCATGAATTCGTCGTTACTACTCCATACCCCAGAGAAGTGTCTGATCAGGGCCGGAACCCAGGTCTGTCTGGTTTTAAGGTTCCTGGGCTTTCTACTGTTCCACACCAGAGAATCTGCTGGGGTGTCAATTAAAAAAAAAGAAAAAAAGTAAAGTTGTTTAAAACAGGAGAAGAACTTAAGCCAGTAAACATGACCTTTCAAGTCCAGGGTGGAACTCCCCAGAAAAACCCACAGAGGGCACCACTCTGCTGACTCAGAGAAGGCAGGTAGCGACTTCCACTGCACGGGCGAAGGTCGTGGTGCCTACCCGAGCCACCACAGGGACACCTTCGTGTGAGCCAGTCTTCCCCAGAGGTGGTTGTCTTTTCCGTGTAGAGTCGAACTGCTGTCAGGAGTTCTGAATATTTTGGGGCAGGGAGGGAACAAAAGCCATTGGCAACTCCTTGTCACTCCCCGGTTTGGTTGGACACAGCAGCAGGCACCAAGTCCTCCATCTTCTGGGGCACCTACCATCCTCTTTCTGCCTGTTGCTCTTTTGCTTTTCTTGGCCCGGAGGTGGCATCTGTAAGCTCCTGACCTCCTGACCGAAGCTGTTCATGACAGCCACGCGTGTTTTTTATCCTTTTTCTAACCCGTTCCAAAGCAAGCCAGGCCTGAAGCATCACCTCACTTTCTCATCTTTCATTTGATCAAAGAGGCCCTTCCTGTCACCTCCTGAATCTTGAAAACCTCCTTGTGTCCTTGACAAGTGAACGAAGGAAGACGTGTTGGGAGATCCAGATTGCAATTAATATTGTAGTCTTTGCTTGAGAATTTGGAGTTACTGTTTCATGGGAAATGAAAATGAGCTAACTGAGGTGTTGAAGGGAAGCTGTCGTGGGCATGGACGGAAATCCATATGTTCAAATTATTTTTAATCACTTTGTTTTAAAAACGAAATATAAAGACTGAAACGGACAATATTTACGATTTCATTGCCTCTGGAGGTTGATAGGACCCATGTCACTTTGCCTGGTTGGAGGGATTTAAGGTCCAGGAAGGAATGAGGCCCAGGCAGAATCCTCCAATCTCCGCAGGCCGCACTGCTCAGGTCACCTGTGCTGCTCGCTCACTCTTCGGGAGAGCCATGTGTCCGCAAGTAGGTCACTGATAACAATCTACCACAGGCGGTCATTGTCAGGCTCACCCAGCGGCCCCGTCTGTTTTCATTAACGTGGTTCTGCTCCACGGCTTCCTCCTCTCCAAGTCCCCTCCAAGTCCCCTCGGAGACCTGGAAACTTCGTGCATCATAGTTTTTCTTCCTTCCTCCCCTTCTGCCTTTCTTCCTTTAAGTGTACCTCGGCTGTATGGAATTAGACTGGTAATCCTGGGTTCCTACATGGCTCTCTTTCAGTAGTTAATTAATTAGCTAACAATATAAGGAACAACCATAATAACATCATCCAACCAGAGAATTAAACACGGTGGATAGTTTGTATTTACCTCTTTGCTTCTCCTTCCCAGACTGTACACCAGTATCTCTCCCCTTACCCTCTGTGTTTACTGTTCTGGTGCCTTGTTTGTAGTTGTTTTAATAGTTTTATCGTGTGTATGTGTGTGTGTCTGTTTGTATAACCTAAATATACAACCTGGACAGTATGTTGTTTACTTTTAGTTATTAATGACCTTTGTAAGGTGTGTATTCCCTATGTGGTAACCTGGACTTAGCTCTTCACACACAATATATGTTATGAATATTCACCTAAATATATGTGCGGTTTACTTAGCTTATTTGTTTTTTAGTGCTGTATAATATTCCATCATATCAATATGTCATCGCATTTCGATTGTTCCTAAGTTTTTGTTGTTAAAACAGTATTGCTCTGGCTAGTCTTTTAAAAACACTAAAAAATATATGTTTATTGATTTTGAAGAGTAAGGAAGGGAAATAGAGAGAAACATCAATGTGAGAAACATCAGTTTGTTGCCTCCCATATATGCCCTGACCAGGAATTGAACCCACAACCTTTTGGTGTGTGGGCCAATGCTCCAACCAACTGAGCCACACCGGCCAGGGCATGATTTTTCTTATTCATGTTTCCTGTGCAAAGAATTTTTGCAGGCTTCCTGTAAGATTCAGTGGGGATATATATATATATATATATATATATATATCCTGACCTCCTGACCGAAGCTGTTCATGACAGCCACGCGTGTTTTTTATCCTTTTTCTAACCCGTTCCAAAGCAAGCCAGGCCTGAAGCATCACCTCACTTTCTCATCTTTCATTTGATCAAAGAGGCCCTTCCTGTCACCTCCTGAATCTTGAAAACCTCCTTGTGTCCTTGACAAGTGAACGAAGGAAGCAAAACACCATTTATTTATTTTAGTTTTTTGGAAAATAGCAACACCCCCCTACCCCATGCTCTTTACTTCTGAATTAAGAGTCTTTTGTGACATTTAGTATATTTTTAACATACTTTTAAAGCAGAATTTGTAGCTTAATGAGAAATGTTGAGGTTCGATCCCACTGCATCTGTGGTCCTTTCCACTGCGTATCCAATTAATTTAAACTTCTTTTCCCTTGACTAACTGTCATCATCGTGTGGAGCCGATCTGTGAGCGGTGCGCCTTGGGGGTGCCGACCCAAGATGAGTCTGCCTCTGTCGGTGGCCCCCAGCCGGCACACACAACCTAAATTGTTGTCAGTGGGAATGTGCGTGCCTTCTTCATAATTATTTAAGGGGGAATCTTTTACATTTTCAAATAAAATTCTTGACCGAGTTTCTTTTCTTAGAAATATTCACTTCCCCTAGCAGCTTATTTCTTGATTAGAAAGGTTAAAAAGCATTACATCCTAAGTGAAAAAAAAAAAAAAACTATGGTGATGTTTTGTACTTGCAGTATTAGGAACTACATTGTTTTTCATACATTTTACTTGTTTATTTTTTCAGTTACCTGACTGGATCAAGATTGGAGATCTGACTTCCAAAAATCGTCATCTATTTGTAAACCTTCAATCAAAAGGCTTAAAAGGGGGAGGTATAACCTTGACTTTACTGGCAGATTGGGCTATTCTGAGTTGAACAGAGACCACGGTTTAAAGTGAAACGAAAGTCTGTGATGCCGGGGTGTGATGGGGGCTCTGGGGGCCGGAGCAGAGTGTGGGCGGGGGGAGCTGCTGAGTTACAGAAGGGGGTGTGCTAGTTTGTGGGACAGCGGGGGTGGGCTTGGGTGTAGTTATGCCAAAATGATGTGAATAAATGTATGGTGATGATTTTGTTTGTTAAGCACAGATTTGTTTTTCTTCATATCCAGATTTTTTTTTATTCTGTGCATCTGAACAATTATTTCCCTTCCCCTGTTCTCCCTATACATTCCTGTTTCCTGTCTGAAGGTGACTTGGTCAGTCTGGTCTAAGAATCTCTAGTTTGGAAAAGCTCAAGGCTCTTTGAACCAGACAGCCAAGGAGCCTGGGACTGTGCCAGATGTCCAAACAGCCGGGACATCGGCTGAGTTTGGGAGTGTTCACAATGTCACAGCACCGTTCTCTGGCTTGGCAGTGAGCGGCAAAACACCATTTATTTATTTTACTTTTTTGGAAAATAGCAACACCCCCCTACCCCATGCTCTTTACTTCTGAATTAAGAGTCTTTTGTGACATTTAGTATATTTTTAACATACTTTTAAAGCAGAATTTGTAGCTTAATGAGAAATGTTGAGGTTCGATCCCACTGCATCTGTGGCCCTTTCCACTGCGTCTTTAGTCGGCAGAGGTTCATCTCCAAGAGCTGCGGTGGGACGTGGAGTTTTCACTGATAGAATTTTACCATGTCTGGGAACCAAGAAATACCGGTCACAAGCCATGGCATTTTTATTTTAGGTCGATTTGGTCAAACAACTCCACCACTTGTGGATTTTCTCAAGGACATTTTAAGAAGATACCCAGAAGGAGGACAGATTCTTAAGGTAGGGCATGTGCCGTGTGCGAGTTTGTGAGTTTGTGTGTGAGTTTGCTTTGGTAAAAACAAGGCGGAGGAAAACAACTTAGAAGTGCGATTAGTGTTTACATCTGTGAGCTCCTGTCTAGACTGGAATGGCTGTGTGTGTCCCCGTGCACCTGCAGCACGGTCACTGGCCAGCGCGGGTGGAGAATGCGGCCAGTACCTGCACGTGAGGTTCCGGAGGCCCAGGAACCCGCCCACTGCGGCCGTCAAGCAGGGCTGCTCTGGAGCACTCTCTGTTCCGTACTCTTTTTCTGGACCCCTCTCCGTGTTCCATACTCCGTGTTTTCCATGAAGTCACATTACTCTCTGTGATGCGACTTCATGGAGAACATGGTGCAGTGGCATTGCAGACCTGCTGGCCAGCCACACGGATGAAGTGACGCAAACCCACATGGAGGGAGCTGCGAACGTGTGCTCGCTTGGCCCCCGGATGTAGAGGGCTGCTGTGGGGGAGGACAAGTGCTTAGTTATTTAAAGCTGTTTGTGATAGTGTTTTACCATAAGTAGCTGTATTCTTTTAGTTCAAATGCACATGTTAAAAAGCTAGACAACCATAAAGAAGCAATTATGGAAGATACTGCAAAGATTAGATTTTGTGTGTAAGCTCAATAAGAAACCTCCTTACTTGTAAAAGTAGATCAGTTATGCAGTTTCCTTCTCATTAATTTATTTAGTGTTTATTACGTCCACTATCTTACTCGTTATATTTTCTAGTTTAGATGGTACATTTTTAGAAAATAAGGACTAAGTTTATTTGACTGGTCTTAAATAGTCATGTTCAGACGGGCGCTGGGTGAGGCTTGCGGCATCTTCTGTGATTTTAGTGATGACAGCATGCCCTTCCAGAACAGGCATCGGTGATTCACAGCAGGTTAATTTGCAAAACGTTTTTACATTGAGACGTTAGGAATGTGAAGAATGGAAGAGTGTGGCTATTGGGTTGTAAGAGGGTAGAAAGGTGAACAGATACATTCAAAAATGAAGATTGGGTTGGTGGTGCCAGGAGCAGGGTGTTACCTATTCACAGGTGAGAGAGGCCCCGACCGTGAACCAGGCAGAGGGTACGACAGGCTCTCTCACGTCCTCACAGTTAGCGGGCTGCTGAGGCTTCGTCCTTGCTCACTGTGTGCATTTAAGTGCAGGCCAGCTGAGCACAGTCTTTGCTCCTTGGATGTCTTAGTAGGATCCGATCGTGTTAGACTTGACAGGACTCTCAGGAATCGCCCAGACTTAGAGCCAGAGACGCTCGAATGACTTGCCCAAGATCTCGCGCAAACTGGCACACTTACTGCTTCCTCTCGGACTCGGTCCAAAAGAGACCCCATTCTCTTTTTTGTTCCACTTGAGACTGATAGTGGGAGCCTGCGACTCGGGACTTCATCTTCAGTTCTCTTCATCTCTGTCCCCTTAAACACACATACATAAAAATAGATATCCAAATGGAAAAAGACCCAGCCTATAAAGTGCTCTCATTTGAGTTAATGCTGTATTTTGCTCCGTTAATTCTTATTCCTATCTTTTATGTCATAATAACCTAATGTAAATAAGGTTGCTAATTTTTAGGGGATTCTGTTAGAATAAACACAGTAGGAACTAGGTCTCAAAAATCCTATGAGGAACAGGCAGCTGTGTGAACGGGAGGAACCTGTCGTCCATGAGGACCACAGAGAAGGGCTGTCTGGGGTTGGACAGCAGGTCCCCAACCTTGCGGGGTGCACCCAGTGAACTAACTGCCTCACCTGGTCTCAGAACTGGCTCTTCGCTTCGGTGCTGTCCCCTTACTCAGTCTTAGAGTCGTCTCATTCCTGGTGGGCACTGTGTCACCTTCGCTCTGATCAAGGCTTTGCTGTGGCTTTGCCCTCTTCAGTCCTTGCCCATTCCTACCCCCAACCCCTCCCCCAGGTTGAGTGATACCAAGATGCTGGAAAAGTTAAGATACAGTTCTCCCCAAGGTTAGAGGTTCCTGAGTGTAATGATACGGGGTGAATTGTTGTGTTTCTAAAGACCTATCCACTTACCATAGGACCGCCTGCTCGGGTTTGACCCAAGTCTCAGCTCATCCAGCCCCTTGTCATGTGTCGGCATGTCTGTGCTTTAGACAAGGTCTGGGATGAACCAGGGATGATGCCTCTGGAGTGTGTCAGGTTCTGAGATTATGGGGTTGGCCCTAGGAGGTGGACTCCTATTGCAGAGTTTGGGGCTCCCGGCCTGATCTCGATAGGTGTGCGGAAGTGCCAACGTGCTAGGGGCTGTTGAGACTGGGCATTGGTTTGAGGCTGCTGATGGGTGTCAGCCTTGTAGTTTGTCCTTCCCTTCCCACGTGCAGAGCTTTGACTGCCCGTTCACCTGTCATTCACCTGTCATTCACCTGTCCACTCACTCACCCACCAGACAGTATCACTACCCTCTCAGTGAAAGGAGGAAGTGCTGACCTTCAAGAAATTTTCATCTTAGGACAGACATGTTCATATCTCAAGTTCGCAGGAATGCAGCATACTGTACATGAAGACTGATAAATTTTTTTCTAAGAGAATGGTAAGCAAATGATAAATAAAGGTCTTTTTTGGTAACTGCTTGAGAATGGTGCTTGTCCCAGACGACAGAGCACTCTGTACAGCGTTTGGAACAGGAGCAATTTCCTTTGTAGGAAGAAGGCCTTGGGTAGATTGTAAATCAGGGGCAGAGTTGTAGATACTCCCAGCATTTGTATTATAGGCAGGAGTAGCACATTTAAAAAAACGCATCACAGGCATGTATAATCGCGGCAGGACTCCTCCTCTCAACCGCACGCACAGCGTACGTGACACTCACTTCCATTGATGCCCGCAGCAGGTCCTAACGGTCATGATGTGAGTAGTGGGTTTCCTTCACTGAAATGGAATTGCCTTTTAAATATTACAGGTAAATATAAAGTGGGCAGTAGGTTCCTGTATTATGAAACATTATTTTTTGTGTATTTCTAGGAGTTAATTCAGAATGCAGAAGATGCTGGGGCCACTACAGTTAAGTTCGTGTATGACGAGACTCAGTACGGAACAGAGACTCTTTGGTCGAAAGATATGGCACAGTTTCAGGGTAAGACTCAATCTTCAGGAACAATATGCACTAACAGGTGGTTTTAGTGATTTACAATATTCTGTTTAACGAATAGTCTAATTACCACTTATACTTCACTTCTTGGCATATGTCATTCCACTTCTTCAAATGTAGGCACATGAGAAGAGACTTCTAGGGTTCTGGAATGTTCTCCATTCATTTGGCTGGATGTTACACAGGTCTGTTCGTTTTGTAAGAATTCATCAAGCTGTACACTTAAAACTTGGTACTCTGTTGTAAATACAAGATGTGGTAAAAGTAGGTTTACAGTTGTCTGTATGGAAAATAATACAATAATTAATAATGATACAAGAATAATTGTGTTTCATGTCCTCACAACTGTAAATCTACTTTTCCCCCACCCTGTGTGTTACATTTCAGGACTGCTTTCAAACAAAAGTGTTAGGTCTTTTAAAGTATGGTGAGTTACTATAGCTGAACATATTGAAGGAATATTGGGACTCTGAGGATGTATTTCATAAAGTAGACTTCCAAAAATATTCAGAGCAGAGTCATCACTTTTTAAAGGAACTACTTTGGAGACAGGATCTTTTAAATTATATAAGCAATGCCTTATAAAGTGATTATTAAATTTATTTAAAGGATTATTGTACACCTTTTGAAGTAATATGTTAACAAGATTTCTTCACATAGAAAGTCTCCTTAGTATATTTACAGGTGATCTCATTTGCAAAAAATTTTAATGTGCTGTTTAGAAACAAGTTGTGTAGTGGGCCACTGTGATTGATTTCCTCATTTGCTCCACGTTTTGGGTGTTTAAACACCATAATAACCTTAGCTTTTCCTTTTCAAATGGCCAACAGTGCTCTCTTTCTTCTGCTGGTAGTTTTTACTATTAATCTGACTTTTACTTTTAGTGTGAAAACAATTGGAATTATAGTGCAGGATTTGGTCATTCCACCCCCTTCTTTACATTTTCCCATCCAATAAGCCACTGTCTGCGGAGCAGGTGCTCGTAAGGACGGAACCCCTTAGAGTGCCTCCTGTGCATGCGCGTCCCCGCCCGCAGGCGCCGCTCTGTACGTGTACAACAACGCGGTGTTCACGCCCGAGGACTGGCACGGCATCCAGGAGATAGCGAGAAGCAGGAAGAAGGACGACCCTCTGAAGGTGGGAAGATTTGGAATCGGGTTCAATTCTGTCTATCACATAACAGGTACAGTATTTGCTTTCATTCATGATACTGCAAATTATTTTAGCCTGTAGTTTATAATTTATTTGGTTAATATCAGAGGTGATATTGTTTTAAAAGGCATCTTTTCCAAATTGTTTTGTCAGTGGCAAGAAGTATGTCAATGAAATATTGGTGTGCCTTGAGTGTTCAGAAGTTACCATGGTAGCTACACTAAAGTTGCATCATGTGACGCTAAAAGTTAATGTCATTATGATGCAGTGTAATCAGTGTAATATATGGGGGGTCCCCCAAAACAGGAATCATCTTCTGGAGAGCGGACCCTTGTACTGCAGGCTTCCCCCCCAGGTGAGTTCCAGGAACCCATTTGTATCAGTTACCAGCTGGTGTTGTTGTGAGAGGTTGCATTTGGCTTCGGTGAATGTTTTGTGAAGACTCTCAGTGTGTTTGCCCATTTCACGATGGGTGATTTAGGAGTGCAGTGGCCATTCCGTGCTGAGTGTTCAGAAGTTTTCGACCAAACACTACATGACCCCCCCCATGCCCCACCCTCTCTATTTACCCAATCTTGCCTGGAGTGACTTTTGTTTGTTTGTTTGTTTCCCTGGATGAAAAAAGTCCTCAAAGGGAAACATTTCGCCAATTTGGAAGCGGTGAAACAAAAAATGGCAGAAGCACTAAAAGGCATCTAAATCGACAAGTTCAAACACTGAGCAGTGGGGAAAACATCTCGGGAGGTGCACCGTGTCCTGTGGAGAGGACTTTGGAGGTGGCTGAGGTTCAAACATGTGAGAGTGAACACTCGGTTTTTATAAGTACATTCCAGGTTTTGGGGGGGTCCCCCCTTGTGTTAAGTCACTTTACATGGGTTGTGAAATATAGCTCTTGAAATGCCATGAAACTGTTACTCTAAGATGTTTTACACTGAAAACATCTGAGTCGGGAAGACTTATTCTCATTTTCTTGTACATATTTTTTAAATATCAGGAGGTTAAAGAGGGAAGTATAACACCAGTGGCATCAAGTAAGTGACAAAGTGAAGATCTTTGAGGTGATTCTGGTTTCTCCACATTTTTCTCATACAGATTTGCTCTTAAACTGACGAGTATTTTAAAGATCACTTTGAAATCATGTTTTGAATCAGGAAGAATATGAGGTTTCCATTTCAGAGCTGAAGTAGGAAATATGTGTGACTCGGTGTGGACATCTCGGGAAGCACATGCATGCTGTTCTTTCCGAATCAAAGCCCTTAGTATTTACCACACTTTGTGATTAAAAGTTGTTATGGAATTGGCCTTTGTTAGAGTTCAGGTTCAAACTGTTCTGCATTTTGCACTTGCAGGAGAAGGAGAGGTTGAGCGGCAGAGCCGTAGCCATACCCGGGGGGTGATGTAACGTGTCATCCGAACTGGGACACGCAGGGACTCTGTTCTCCTCGGACAAGTGGCCTAAATTGGGACTGCCCTGGGTGCGTGGGAGTAGGGTCACCCTCCTGGTAGCCCAGTTTAGTAAGCCTGTTTTTCCGTATTGCAGTTACACGATGATATATTGTATAATGTTGTATTAAGTAAGATTATTTATATAACAAATTATTAACTTATAAATTATGATATATAACTATTGTACATGAATATTGACATTCATGTATTCAACTGTTTGCAAAGTACACCTCAGGGCCGTTTTAAAGTCCTGGGGGCACCTTGGTGACTGGCCCGAGCTGGAGACAGCTGTGCAAGGCGGAGGGCAGTGCTCGGCAGTGTCCAGCTGGTGGCCATGCGAGCGCCGTTCTCTGATCTGAGGGTTCGTGTGGGTTGAGGCGCATGCTTTACATCCATCGGGCATCTCCCTGGTGTCGTCTTAGTGATGGGAGGTGTGCACAGTCTGTGGTGGGAGCGCCACAAACCACGTTTGTGATCGGGGTCGCAGCGGGCTTGGCGAATGGAACCTTTTCTGCTTAAATTACCTGAGAGCCTCGGAGCCGGTGGTCGGGCTCGTGGGGCCGCAGTGGACGCCCACAAACAGTGTGAAAGGTGGGATGACCAGAGCTGCATCTGCACAGGTTAGGTGCTGTGGTCAGCGCTCGAGGATCACCCCCCCCCGTCCCACCCTGGGACATGTTGCCTACAGGCACAGTGCACCCACCATGAGGGATGACTTTTCACAAAAGCTAAGTCGGCATTCAAGAGCAAGGCTGCTGGCTTTGGGCTCAAGGTGGCGGAGTAGGAAGGTCCTGAGCTCACCTCGTCTCATGGACTCCAAAACTGCAACTACGTCCAGAACAGCTGTCTCCGAGCCACCTGAGTACTAGCAGAACAGATCTGCGACAACTGCAGATACAAAGTAAAAGCCACATTGAAACGGGTAGGAGGGGTAGAGACTAAGCCTGGCCAGGTCCTCCCTACTCCCCACTTCTCTGCAGTGACTCACGAGTGGGAGGGATGTCACAGCTGCAGCGGTTACCCCCACAGAGCGAAGGGTCTGAGCCCCAGCCTGCTTGACCTGAAGCAGGAACTGGGGCCCTCATAACATCGGGCTTTGAAAACCAGCGAGGCTTACATCTGGGAGAAGAACCAAAGGGCTCTAGGAAGCCCAGGCTATGCTCTCTCTGAGTTCTGCCACGGTGAAGGTGATGCATTGACTGATTTTAGGATGTGGGCTGGAGGGACAGGGATTTCGGAACTTGCTCTTGTGTCAGATGTGGTGGTGGGTGCCATCTTTCCCCCCCTTCCATAACCTGGCTGGTCTGATACCGGCGGGCGCCATACCTGACACCGTGTTATTCTTGGTGACACTGTTCACCCCATGCTGGCATTTCCCTGAGGACATACCCAGGGCAGCACCCCTCCAAAGTGCTTCTTTCCTGCCACACCAAGTGGCCACCAAGTGGACGGCCTCAGTCGGCACCAGCGCACAGCAGAGGGTCGCCGCTGCGGGGCTGGGCCTTGCAGCCAGCTGCCTCCCAGGCTTGCCCTGCACACAGGCGAGCCCGCAGCAGTTGTGGCCTGGACTCACAGCCAGTGTGTCCATAAAGTTGTGGTCCAGCCACAACAGGAGGCCACACTAGTCCACCCCCCAGAGCACCTGGCTCTGGTGACAAGGGGGCCACCTAAATAAGGACCCCACAGGACACTTTTTAAACTTCCAAATAAGGCCACTTTTTTGAGACCAGGAGATTTAGCTGACCTACCTAATACAATACATAGAAACAAACAGGCAATATGAGGATAGAAAAGAACATGTTCCAAACAAACAAACAAACAAACAAAAAAACAGGACAAAACCCCAGAAAAAGAACTCAATGAAACTGAGGTAAGCTGTCTGCTAGATGAAGCGTTCAAAGTAACAGTCACAAAGATGCTCATTCTACTCTCCAGACAGTGGATAGACCCAGTGAGAACTTCAACAAAGATAGAAACGATAGAAAAGGATCTATCAGAACAGAAGAATATAACAATTGAAAAAAAGCCACTGGAGGGAGTCAACAGCCAATCAGGTGACACAGAAGAATTGATCGCCAGTCAGGAAAACAGAACAGTGGAAATCACCCAGTTGGAAAATCAGAAAGAAGAATGCAAAAGACTAAAGACAGCGCAAGGGGCCTTTGGGACAACATCAAACGTACTAATGTTCAGATAGAGGAGTCCCAGAGGAGGAGAAAGAGAGAGGGGCGGGAGGCCCATTTGAAGACGTATTGGCTGAAAACTCCTAACCTGGCAAAGGAAACACACCCAAGTCTGGGAAGCAGAGCGTCCCAAACAGCATGAACCCAAAGAGACCCACACCAAGACACAGTATGATCAAGTCATTTAAAGATAAATAGGGAATCTTAAGGGCACCAGTAAATAAACCACTAGCTACGTACACGGGTATGCCCATAAGACTACCAATGGACTTTTCAACAGGAACTTGCAGGCCAGAAGGGAGTGGCATGATATATTCAACGTGATGAAAGGGAAAAAAAAACATACAATCAAGAATGCTGTCCCCAGCAAGGTTACCATTCAGAATGGAAGGAGAGATCAAGATTTTCTCACACAAGCAAAAGCTAAAGGAGTTCATCACCACTAAACCAGCCTTACAAGAAATGTTAATGGGAATTCTTTAAGTGGAAAAGAAAATGTAAAAACTAGAAATAAGAAAGTATGTGAAAAATCTCACTGGTAAAGGCAAACATATAGAAAGGTGGTAGACCAACCACTTACAAATCTAGTATGAAAACAATTAAAATGGCAATAAGCACATACCTGTCAGTAATCACTTCAAATGTGAATACACTCAGTGCTCCACTGAAAACACAGGGTGACTGAATGGATTAGAGAGAGAGAGAGAGCCCTGCATAGAGAGCCTGCGACAGACTCCAGACCGAAAGACACACAGATACTGAAAGCGGAAGGGCGGAAAGATATTTCATGAAAACGGAAATGGAAAAAAGGAGAGAGTCAGGGGTAGCAGTACTTACATCAGACAAAATAGACTTCAGAACAAAGGCTATAACAGGATACAAACCCAGCAATTCCACTCTTGGGGGTGTGTCTGAAGAAAATGAGACAATTCCAAAAGATACCTGCACCCCTGTGCTTGCTTGCAGCGTCATGTGCAGTAGCCAGGTTATTGAACCGTGTGCGTGCAGCCTGGAATATTACTCAGCCGTGAAAAACAAACCATGCCATTTGTGACAACATGGATGGACCTGGAGGGTATTATGCTCAGTGAAACGAGTCAGAGAGAGACAAGTACTTTGTCATTTCACTTAGGGGTGGAATCTACAAATGTAAAGAAGTGAACAAGCAAAACAAACTACCCACAGACACAGAAAAACTGTTAATTGCTGGAAAGTTGGGTGGTGGGGAGAGTATGGGCAAAAAGGTTAAAGGGATTAAGAGGTATAAATTTGCAGTTATAAATAAGTCGCAGGGATGTAAAGTACGACGTAGGGAATAATGTCGCAGGAACTCTATGCGATGGCAGATGGGTGGGGACTTTTGTGGTGACCACTTTTAAGACATGTAAATGTGAAATCCCACTATGTCATACACCCGACACTAATACAATACTGTATGTCAACGGCACTTCAAAAGAGCTTTCCATTCTAGCATAAAAATTGTACATAAAAAAATCACCCTCAGGAAGTCCTTAAAGGCACATGCAGAAGACTCATAACACAGCACTTCCGACACGCCCATTTCTCTTCAAATGTTGAAATACCACTTGGTTTTTGGCTGAAGAACAGGCATAGGGCTGGTGCGGATGCAGGCCCGTGCTGTACAAAACGCAGGCCCCCAGACGCACCAGCCTTGTCTCCTGGAGGTGAGCTGCTCCCAGCTGCCAGCGCACCCGCTGGGAGAAGCAGGGGAATGGGAGCTGGTCCAGGCTCCCCTAGGGCAGGTGCACACAGAGGACCAGCACTGGCGTCGCCCATGGTGGCATCTCTCTGCCCCTCCGCCTTCAGGGCACCTGCTCTTGTTCCGTGGAGTTGGTTCCCGTGGCTGTGGGGCTGAGTGACCACGCCCAGTTCCTCTGTTCACATTCTCATTGTTTGGTAAGTGAAGATGTGTCTCAGGTTTTCACAATAATTGTGTAAAGTCTCTATGCCTTGTGCTCATTGCATCGAATGAGAAATCGTTATCCCTCACGTAAGAATTATATCTTCCAACCGGGGCTTTTATTTATTAGGGTTTTTCTGAGATAAATCTGTTTTGGAGTCATTTCATGGCTTACTGTTTTGCATGTGAAATATTTTGGTATAATGATGCATTGTGATTGTACTTGTCCATTGAATTTCAGAACTGACCATGACTTGAATTTGTTTTACAGATGTTCCTTGTATTTTTAGTGGTGACCAGATCGGAATGTTAGACCCTCATCAGACACTTTTCGGTCCACACGAATCAGGTCAATGCTGGAATCTCAAAGGTGACAGCAAAGAAATCAGTGAACTTTCAGACCAGTTTGCGCCATTCATCGGCATTTTTGGAAGCACCAAGGACACGTTTGTAAAGGGCAATTTCCCGGGGACGCTGTTCCGGTTCCCCCTTCGCCTGCAGCCTTCCCAGCTGAGCAGTAACCTCTACAACAAGCAGAAGGTCCTGGAGCTGTTCGAGTCCTTCCGGGCAGACGCAGACACGGTGCTGCTCTTCCTGCGGAGCGTGCAGGACGTGTCGCTGCACGTCCGCGAGGCCGACGGGACAGAGAGGCTGGTGTTCAGAGTGACGGCCAGCGAGGATGAGGCCCTGACTCAGGAGCGGCCGGATGCGGTCAAGCTGCTGGGAGCGGCTATAAGTAACTATTGTAAGAAGATCCCAAACAACAGCATAACCTGTGTGACGTATCACATGAACATAGCTTTGGAGGATGCGAGTGCGCAGGACACACAGAAGACGTCGTGGCTGGTGTGCAACAGTGTGGGCGGGCGAGGGGTTAGCAGTAAACTCGATTCTTTAGCTGACGAATTGAAGTTCGTCCCGACCATTGGAATAGCGCTGTGTTTATCCAGCGGAGATGATGAAACAGGAGCAACGTCTGATTTCTCAGGAAAAGCATTTTGTTTTCTTCCCTTGCCACCGGGCGAGGAGAGTAAAACCGGCCTCCCTGTTCACATCAGCGGGTTCTTCGGCCTGACGGACAATCGCAGGAGCATCAAGTGGCGAGAGCTGGACCAGTGGCGAGATCCGGCCGCCTTGTGGAACGAGCTGCTGGTCGTGAACGTGGTCCCGAAAGCCTATGCCACCCTGATCTTGGATTCCATCGGCCGCCTGGAGTCGCGCGGGAGCGCCAGCTCGCCCCTGTCGGTGGACACCATCTACAAGCTCTGGCCGGACGCAGGCAGAGTGAGGGCGCACTGGCAGCCAGCGCTGGGGCCCCTGTTCCGCGAGCTGCTCCCACATCCCGTGGTGCACTCCCTCGGCGGCCGCTGGGTGCGGCCGGAGCAGGCGCGCTTCTCCGACCTGGACGAGGGATTGGAGCGCACCGGGGCGGTGCTCCGCTACCTCTGCAGCGCGGGGCAGCAGGTCGTGAAGGTGCCCGAGCATCTGACGGAGGCCCTGCGGCTGGCCGCGGCCCCGGAGCAGCCCGTGCAGAAGGTGACGCCCGCGTGGGTGCGGCAGGTGCTGAGGAAGTGCGCGCCCCAGGGCAGCGCGGAGGAGAGGCTCCACCTCCTGGAATTCGTGCTTTCGGACCAGGCCTACAGCGAGCTGCTCGGCCTGGAGCTGCTGCCGCTGCAGAACGGAAAATTTGTCCCTTTCTCCTCCTCCGTATCAGATCAAGATGTTGTTTATATTTCCTCAGAAGACTACCCAAGGTATGGAACACGCTTTCAAAATGCGCGTTCACGCTTAGGGACGCCCCAGCCCCTGGCAACGTGTCGAGCCCTGTACTGGACCGTGCGGTGATCAGGGTAGATTTTATCTCAAGGAAGGCTTGTGCTGAGCGTAATACTCTGTTAAAATGTGAATGGATACATTTTTACACCCTAAAATGAAAAAAACATCCAGGTGTTTGTCAGTTAAAAAGTTATCCAGGCAATCGGGTTTGGGGGGAAATGAGTATTAAATAATTCTTTATAACTAAGGATGCATATTGACATTTCAGAAAATAAGATTAACTTTATTCTGAGAGATTTAGACTTATTTCTGGATTCACATGAGGTGCATGGTACCCTCGTGGTTTAAAGCAAAGGCGCAGTGATGCCTGGTCAGAAAGTGCTGCCTGTGATTGGACGCATGCCCTGACTGGTGTCTTGTGATTGGACACATGCCCTGACTGGTGTCTTATGATTGGACACATGCCCTGACTGGGTCCTATGATTGGACGCATGCCCTGACTGGTGTCAAATGGTGTTAGAGATAGTAATTGCTGTTGTCCTTTCACCGTTTAGGTCTCTTTTCCCTGGTCTGGAAGGAAGATTTATTTTGGACAACTTGAAGCCTCACCTTCTAGCTGCTTTAAAGGAAGCTGCCCAAACTCGAGGTATTATAATTGTTTGTTTTTTTAATTTTCACCCAAAGATATGATATTTAGAAAGAGGGGAAGGGAGAGAAAGAGAAAGAGAAACACTGATATGAAAGAGAAGCATTGACTAGTTGCCTTTTATATGTGCCTTGACTGGGGATCGAACCCTCAACTTTTCGGTTTGGACATTGCTCCGCCAAACCAAGCTGCCCAGCTGGGGCAGTTTGTTGGTTTTTTTAACTTTTTAAAATAAACCTATCTATTAAAATGTAATTTTTTTAAAGTTTTCTGTTAAGTTGAACCCAATTTGAAATTGCCAATAGTTTTCCATTTTAGACCTGTTAGTCAACAATTTCATATGGTTCAGCTGAATCTAATTGTTATATTTTAAGATGTTTCAGTCCTGGGTTCTGGCACCCAAGAGCACCCAAAGTTGCACTGATCCTTAAGCACCTCTCCTGTCCCAGTGTGGCGGTGCACATTTGTGGAAACCATTTCTTACAGCTGCACAGGGCTTTGCCTGCCCTGCATCCTCATTGTCTCCTCCTCTGAGCCCCTGGGCCCCCCCTTGTAGCGAGTGGGCAGAGAGGGCAGCTGCTGTCTTAGGCTGCACAGGTGAGGAGAGGACGAGGTGGACTTTGGGGTCTGCAGCTCCTGCCGGCCCCCAGCTCAGGTCCCCCCGAGCCTTGCTCTGTTGCCCGTAGCAGCCCTCGGTTTTGAGTGGCTGCGCTGGGTCGCTTTGGGGAAATGCAGACGGTGAAATGAGCTCCACCACCATGTCAGGAAAGGGATCCGTGGGTCTCACCGAAGGGCACGTGTTCCTGAGAACTCTAGGGAAAGACCGAATGCTTCGGGGGAAAATCACGTGGCTGTAAGTGGGACATTCTCGTGCAGCTTTTGTTGGCATCCTTTCCCTCGTAAGACTGTTATTGCCTAAACTTTCTCTAAGTTAGATATTAGCCTGAAAAATTCTGGATTTGCCCCACTGGTTGAGGTTATAAAGCATATTTGTTGTGATGTGTCTTTTATGGCATATGCTATATTCTTTTCAAGGTTAATGACAGAAGGAAAAGTAATAACTGCACATCTCAATTCACTGAGATATTAGCGAAAGGATGGGAATGGGGAGACAAATAAGTGCAGAGCCAGAGTGAGTCCGAAGGAGAGCAAGTACGCGAGTGCCGTTGACCACACGGAATCTGCAACTGTGAGGTCATAGCTGTGACATTGGTGGGCACTGCCACCTTCAGAGTGGCCTCCTTGGGAGTCCAACCCTGCCATGGTTTGCTCCAGAGTTTTAGAAATCTTTACTTTTCAAACTCATTGTTATATTCTGGTACAAAAGCTTCACACTGAAATAAAATATGCCTGCAGAAAAGTGTACGTATCATAAATGCAAGCTTAACCAAGCTTGGTAAACCAAAAACACCTACATCGAAGCCAGGAGTTTGCCAACACCCAGCAACCCCTCTCGTGCTTCTTTTGGTCCCACCCACTCAGGGGCCACCATGGCCCAAGTCTCCCAGCATCGGCGAGTGCAGCTGGTCATTGCACTCTCCACACAAGGGCTCACGCAGGGCGTGGCCACACCTTGCTTTTCTAGCCTCAGGTGGCCGGGGGCACCTGTTGCATTTTTAGGGTGAGTTCAAATTTGTGCATTAGCTCAGGTGATGTGACACCTTCACAGAGCGTCTTTTCGATTTGCACATCTTCGTTCCTTCATGTCCTTTGGATTCTGATTCTCAGTTTGGGGATTAGACCATACACGCTGCATTTTGTCTTTGGTGCTTGGTTAATTTTCTCTGGGCCATTACACTAGACCGGGTGTCTTCACTGCTTTCGTTGTCCCCCACAATGTGTGGCTTGGGTCTTCCAGAAATCGTGTTCACGATCACTTATTTTTACCTCAGTTTAAATGTTCAGCTACCATTCTTAATGACCATTAGTAGTCCTTTTTAGTATTTTTATTTGGCTATAATTGAGTGATGGGTAACCACCTCCTAAGCATCTTCCGTACCATTTTTATACCCTTAGTTCCAGAAAAAGTAATTTTTTTTCTGGACAAAAACGATCATCATGAAAGGTTTTAATGTTTTGGCAGCATTATAATGTAAGGGCTGATGGGGACCCCACAACGACCCTGGCTTTCCCTTCCCTACGTCGGAGTTGGTGAGGAGAGCCAGCCGCGGCGCATCCTTGCGGGCCCGCTGGCTGCGACCCCCTGGCTGCAACCCCCTCTCTGTCCTCTGCTGTTGTCCCGAGCCCTGCGGGGCTCCAGCAGCCTCCGGGGAGCGGGAGCGGAGCCTGTGGGCTTGCCCCTCCCTCCGTGGAGCTCAGGGCCTGCTCTAAGGGCGGTGCTCGGTAATTTTTTTAAACCCAAATGAAAGTTTTCTAAATCTGTATTTTTTATACAAGCTGTTCCTTTTGCTTTCCATTCCCCACTTCACCTTGTTGACTTCTGTCCCTCTTTTCACCCTCAGCCCACTCCGTCCCTCCCTCCCACCCTCCTGCCCCCGCGGGCAGTTTCTCCCCAGGAGCCCAGCACGCAGCCCCCTAATCCTCTTCCCCCGTTCGGATCCTGCTTCTGCTGCGCCAGGCTGCGTGGTCCTGAGAGTGGTCCTGAGAACGGCGGTCTGTCATTTTACCGTATCCCTGTCCGTGCCTGTTGACAAGCTTGGTTCACACAGTGGTGCTTCTGTGATGGCACTGGGGGCCCAGGAACACGGTGAAAAGGCAGATCTCTGGTGTCGTGCCTGTGGTTTAGTATTTCTTTTTCTCCTTCTTTTTAAAGGATTTATTTATTTCCTTTTAAAGAGAGGGGAAGGGAGGGAGGGAGAGAGAGAAACATCAATGTGTGCTTACCTCTCTCGCACCCCTGACTACGGACCATGTACCTCGACTGGGAATTGAACCAGAGACTCTTTGGTTTGGGGGCTGGCAATCAATCCACTGAGCCACACCAGCCAGGGCTTAGTGTTTCTTTTTCAAGTATCTTCCCTTATGTGCTCTTCACAGTCATGACGTAATGGAGCCTGTTTTATCTCCTCCATTTGAGAGATGGAGACGGTGCGACTGCAGGAGTTTGAAGGGCTTAAATGACTTGCTTGTGGTGCGGAGTGGGAACCGTGACTCTGGTTTGTTTGTTTCCTATTTCCGGGGCTGGATTATTTCTGTATGGAGTTACCGGAGTAAAGGGTGACAGGCAGGAGTCGGGGAATAGTTGGGAGAGCAGGTAGATGGGTTTCGGAGGAAGTGAATAGGGAGGAAGCAGTCAAATCAGACAAAGGGTAGGAAAGCCTGATAGGTGGTACCCAGGCGCTGTGCACATTTAAAACTTCCCTCCGTGTTTGTTACATGGGGTCTCCTGGCTGCTTCTGTTTCACGGCCAGGACTCTTCGGTGAGCATCTGCTTGAATCTCCTCCACGCGCCAGGCACCGAGGAGCAGGCGGGGGTGATGTGACGGTGCAGAGCCGGAAGGCGCCGAGAGCCGCCCTGCCATCATCCCCTCCGCCTCGCTGCCCACACCCACCACACACAGCCCGTGTGTGTGCTGACAGCGCTGAGCTCCCCGTACACGCGCTCTCGCACCTGTGTACTCCGTCACCAGGGCCCGTCTGTACCTGCCTTTTCATGAGACTGTCAGGCAGAGACCGGGTCCACTCTGTGTAGTTCACCTCTCTAGCACTTGGTCGGTATTGAGTGACTGGTAAAATGCGTCTGAAGTGACTGAAAGGGTGTTGAGATGAGGGGTGGGAATTCCCTTGGTGAGGCCCATGGTCTCTGTGCACGCTGGCAGGTGTAGTCAACGGCACCGGGACACACAGGTGTCTCGCTGACCTGTAGGGAGCTGGGCTCCATCGCAGGAGTGGCTCGCTGTGGGCAGAGGACGGGGCAGACGCCCATGGAGCGGCCCTTTGGTGAGTGTGAGGGTGGTGGTCACCAGAGGTGCGTGGTGGCGAATGACACACTCTCCCTTTCTTTACTGTAAAGCCGAAGCGATGGAGTCATTGTAGGCTTTCTTTGTGGACATGGTCCGAACCCTTTAAAGTCTGCCTTCCCTTAGTTCCTGCCCAGAGTATCGCAGTATCTGGCCACAGCAGCCTGGCCAAGAGCCCGCTGGGAGCTCGTGGGACGGCTTCGTTTCTGCTGCTGGGGTGTGACTCCCACGCCCGAACTGCACGTGCCCGCCCTCTGGGCCCTCTTTCTGATGAGATGCCCGCCTTCACGTGCTGTGGCTGTAGTTCGCCTTGCAGCGCCTCTTTAAATCTTAAATGTATCATCTGCTATGTTTGGGGTTTTGTTTCTAGCTTTTGTTTTACATAATGATGCAATGAGACAAACAGTGTTAAACAAAACAGTGTTACTTTAAGATACAGAGTAATTCCTGTAGCTGTCATGTGAAACTTGTGACAATTCTGTCTTTTTCTAAGAAGAGATTTCATTTTATTCTAGCACAGCAGCTTCTCTGGGGATACTCAGGTATGTGCCCGACTAATGTGTGTTCATGTGTGGCCTGATGTTTTCATTCGTGTGGTTCTTTGAGTCCTGTTTCTCATTCCCCTGAGTAGCTAGAAATGGTGTCGACAGTTTTTTCTAGTGGGAACAGCTATTAAAGGAGAGAGGAGACCCTACTGACGCAGGTGCGCAGGTGAGTGCTGCATGCACCACGGTGAAGCCACACTGACCCGCTCGGAGACACGTTTCCGAGAACACTTAGTCCCGAGGAAAGAATCCGGCAGGACCTGCATTTCGGGCTGTGGCCTTTCGTGGGGCCGTGTGGGAGTGAACACACCCCTGCTGCATGGCCCCCGTAACTACAGGGGTACTCAGTGAGAGGGTGGTGGGTGGGCAGGCAGTCGGTTCTGGGGGCGTGTGGAGGGAGAAGACCCGCGGTTCGCTGTGCTGCCGCAGGGATGGCAGGGGGCCAGGACAGCGGCCAGCCAGCCCCCTTCTCTCAGTGCCTCGCGGGCCCTCCTGTTGGCCTTTTTAAAATACAAAGTGTTTGACTTAACTTGTATTATTTTCCCTTGGGGAAAATTAGAGGGGACGAGATTTGCTTTACAGAGAATTTTGGTAAATGATACTTTGGGCGTCAGTCTATCCTGTGAAGCAGTCTACACGTGTATTAAAGGTAGTTGAGAAGCAAAGGCCTGTTGCACTGATAATCCATGTAAACATTCCATTTGTTTTCTGGCTTGTATTCCAAGTGGCTTGGCATTGTTACATTCTATTATTATTATAATATATCTTACACCTTAGTTAATATACCTTCTGTCAAGGTTCAGTCAGAGAAGAAAACAGAACCTCCTGGACGTGGGCTGCTGAGGTCCCGCACCCGGGGCTCCGGTTATGGGCGCCACTGTGCCCCAGGCCTTGCTGCGTCTCCCATTCACGTTCGGGGTGAAAATGGGGAAGGCGCAGCAGGGCCCGTGCTGGCGGACTCAGGAGGTTTGGTCCCTGGCCCTGGTTTTGAGCCGCCTGGGATGCCCCGTCCACATTAGAGTGGACGTTCACGCTGGGCCCACGGTGCACGCCTTGCTGGCGCTCCACTGGGGGACTGCCGGGTGGCGTCCTGGTGGGCAGGCAGGCTTTCCCATCCTTCCTTGGTTTGGCCTTTTTCTTTCCCTTTTTTCCTTTTTGTTTCTGTGGAGGTGTGACTGACTTCTTATTTACCGTTTAATCGGACCTTCACTTCCACACGTATGTGTTTACAAAGAGATTCAGCTCCCTGCTCACAGCGGGGCACTGTAGGAAGTCATCAGCTACAAAAGCTGCCGTTGCCACTTGCTGTAGGAGAAAAGTGTAAAAACTGCTGCTGGACTCCCAGCCTCGGGTCATCAGTCTGGTCAGCTGTGGTCAGCTCCCAGGTAATGAAGGAAGCGAGGGGGCGAGTTTTTGGTTAAGTCAATTTTGAAGTAGACTCTAATACTCCATTTCCATCCACGCTGGAAACCCTTCTCCAAGCTAGTGCTGAGCACACACGTACAAATAAATGTGCAAATAAAGAACAGTGCAGCCTTTTAGTGGTCACTCGGTGTGTGGATGTTATTTTGAACTCATCTGCAGTAAAGCAAAAACTACTCAGAATCTGAGTTATTTCTAAATTAACTAATCATTTAATAATCATTTAGAAAAAAGCTTTCTGTCCTGGGAGCGCTTTCAGTACTATACAGTTACCTACTTTTGACAGTGCTGAGCATTTTAAAGGCTGCAAGAACACGAGTCATTTGTCACGATGCTATAGATTATTTTGCTGATACTGTAGGAGGAGGTTGAGAGTTTCAGTGACTTTCTAAACCAGGACAGTAAGAGTTTTCTCTGAGTTAACATTTATAATTGAGGGTTAAAAGCTCTATGAAGGCTTAACTACACAATAACAGAAAGAGTGAGGACATCAGAGCGAGCCGACGTGGGCACATAGGAAGAACTGTGTGCTTCCACGTCTGCTCCATCACATCTGCAGTCGAGCATGGCCCTCGCGTCATCCGCATGTGTGTGTGTGTGGTCGGCATTTTTCATACATTCATATTGGGTAATTTTCCTGAAGGTAGGTATGTGTTTTATAAATTGCCAGGTTTTGTGCAAGGATTTTGCATAGGATTACCTACAAAATTGCATGTTATATGGCGATTATTAACATGGAACCTATTGGGCTGCATATTTAGTTTTTTGTTTTCTAAGTGTTGTGAACTTTAATTTCTAACTTTTTTTGTATCTTTGGTGTTGTCTCTTTGTGTTTCCTATTATTTAGATATTCTATTATTGTAAATTGAGTACGCATTTGTTTAAAATGTTGTTAAAATTAATTACAAAAATATATCTTAGTGGAACTCATAGACTGAGCAGGCTGTGCTACTCAGGCTCCTGACAAAACCTTGTGATTTCTCAGATATTTCCACTTGATTTACCCACCCAAGTCACACGATGTGGAAACTGGGAATATTCAGAGTGTGGGGGTTGAGAGTTTCCGAACATGGCAGACAGGTGCTCTTGCTTAGACCTGTGTGGCAGTGATTTTAAAATGTCTTATTATGACATGAGAGATGACTTGGGGACAAAGATGAAGTCGCCTTCCTGACGTGTAGGGCTGCGACAGGAGGGAGAGCTTCCTTGCTCAAAGTATGATGATACATGGAAATTTCAAGGGGCTTGAGCTGTGCCCTCTTTTATATGTTTTTCAAAATCAGTTTTAGGAGCGTCTAGAAATTGTATATACTTAGGGAGAAAATTGGTGTCGGTGTTCCATGGGATTGCATTTGAAACGCTTCCCCTTTCCCTGTACGGCAGGTGTTAGCGTGGGAAGGAAGCCCCGTGAGTCTCCTCGGGGCTCAGCGTCAGGCAGTGTCGGTGAGCAGGGACAGGGGCTCCGCCCTGCGCCCTGACCACAGGCCCTTCCCGTTGTCCGGTGCGGCCGCCGGCCTCTGCAGGCCTGAGGAGAAGACAGCCGTGCTGGGCACCCCTCCCGAAGTGGCGCTCCCTTAAACTTGACCTGCTTTTCTTGGAACTTTTATTTGTGGACAAATAACCACTAACAGTTCTTTTCCATGTTGATTCCATTTGTGGAACATCGTAGGATAATTTTTAAAGCACACATAAATGCCCTTTATATATTTGTTTAAAATCACTTTCCAGAGAAAATTATATCTCCCATTGGTTATTATCAATATGGATGTATGGGTAGACTCTTTGATCTGCAGAAATAGGCAGCTGAGCACCCTGCAGCAGCCTTGTGTGTCTAATGCGTGTCTCTGCGATTCACAGGGAGGCCGTGCACCCAGCTGCAGCTCCTGAACCCCGAGCGGTTTGCGCGGCTCATCAAGGAAGTGATGAGCGCGCTCTGGCCTGGCAGAGAGCTGATCGTTCACTGGTACCCATTAGATGAAGACAAGCATCATCCGTCTGTCTCATGGCTTAAAATGGTTTGGAAGAATCTCTACATACATTTTTCAGAGGACCTGACGTTGTTTGACGAGATGCCACTTGTCCCCAGGACAGCACTGGAGGAAGGGCAGACATGTGTGGAGCTCATCAGACTCAGGGTCCCGTCATCGGTCATTTTGGAAGATGAGTCTGAAGCGCAGCTGCCAGAATTTTTAGCTGACGTTGTCCAAAAACTTGGAGGGATCGTCCTTAAAAAGTTAGATGCCTGCATACAACATCCACTTATTAAAAAATACATTCACTCGCCATTGCCAGCTGCTGTTCTGCAGATAATGGAGAAGATGCCACTTCAGAAGCTGTGTAATCAGGTAGCCTCGCTGCTTCCAACGCACAAAGACGCCCTGAGGAAGTTCTTAGCCAGTTTGACTGAGAGCAGTGAAAAGGACAAAAGGATAATTCAGGAATTGCCAATATTCAAACGAATTGACCACTCATCTGGCCAGGGAGTTTCCTCTTACACAAAACTGAAAGGTTGTAAAGTCCTGCACCATACCGCCAAACTCCCACCAAACCTGCGACTCTCGGTTTCAGTGATAGACAGTGGTGACGAGGCTACTATTCGCCTGGCAAATATGTTGAAAATAGAGAAATTAAAGACCACTGGCTGCTTAAAGATTGTTTTAAAAGATATTGAAAGTGCATTTTACTCACATGAAGAAATAACACACCTTATGTTGTGGATCCTAGAGAATCTATCCTCTCTTAAAAATGAGAATTCGAACGTGCTCGATTGGTTAAAGCCATTAAAATTCATTCAGATGTCCCAGGAACGGATGGTGTCAGCCAGCGAGCTCTTTGATCCTGATGTGGAAGTCCTGAAGGATCTCTTTTATAATGAAGAGGAAGCTTGCTTCCCGCCGTCAGCTTTTACCTCACCAGATGTTCTTCACTCTTTGAGACAGATTGGTTTGAAAAACGAAGCCAGTCTCACAGAGAAAGATGTTGTGCAGGTGGCGAAAAAAATTGAAGCTTTACAGGTCAGTGCTTGCCCGAATCAGGAAGTTCTCACAAAGAAAGCCAGGACACTCCTGCAGGTTTTAAATAAGAATCCCACGCTGCTGCAGTCGTCAGAAGGGAGGATGATGCTGAAGAAGATGAAATGGGTTCCAGCTTGCAAAGAGCGGCCCCCGAATTACCCAGGCTCCCTGGCGTGGCGGGGGGATCTGTGCAGGCTGTGCGCCCCACCAGAGATGTGTGACTCGGCCCACGCGGTTCTCGTTGGCGCTGCACTTCCTCTTGTTGAGAGTGTCCACGTGGACCTGGCAAAAGCTTTAGATGTGTTCACAAAGCCTAGCATCAGTGCTGTCTTAAAACACTTCAAGATTGTGGTTGATTGGTATACTTCGAAAACGTTCAGTGATGAAGACTACTACCAATTCCAACATATTTTGCTGGAAATCTATGGCTTCATGCATGATCATTTAAATGAAGGGAAAGATGCTTTCAGAGCCTTAAAATTTCCATGGGTTTGGACTGGCAAAAAATTTTGTCCCCTCACCCAAGCTGTGATAAAGCCATTCCATGACCTTGACCTTCAGCCTTATTTGTATAGCGTGCCTAAAACCATGGCAAAATTCCACCAGCTGTTTAAGGTCTGTGGTTCAATAGAGGAGTTGACATCGGATCATATTTCCATGGTCATCCAGAAGGTGTATCTGAAAAGTGATCAAGACCTCAGTGAACAAGAAAGCAAGCAAAACCTCCACCTGATGCTGAACATTGTCAGGTGGCTGTACAGCAATCAGATCCCAGCCAGCCCCAACACGCCCGTTCCCATACATCATGGCAGAAAGCCTTCTAAACTCATCATGAAGCCAATTCACGAGTGCTGCTACTGTGACATCAAAGTCGACGACCTGAATGACTTACTGGAAGATTCGGTGGAACCAATCATTCTGGTGCACGAGGACATACCCATGAAAACCGCGGAGTGGCTGAAAGTCCCATGCCTCAGCACCAGGCTGATCAACCCTGAGAACATGGGGTTTGAGCAGTCAGGACAGAGGGAACCACTTACTGTAAGAATTAAAAACATCCTGGAAGAATATCCTTCAGTGTCAGATATTTTCAAAGAACTACTTCAAAATGCTGATGATGCAAACGCAACAGAATGTAGCTTCCTGATTGACATGAGAAGAAATATGGACATCAGAGAGAACCTCCTGGACCCAGGCATGGCGGCGTGTCACGGGCCCGCTCTGTGGTCCTTCAATAATTCTGAGTTCTCAGATTCCGACTTTGTGAACATCACTAGGTTAGGAGAGTCTTTAAAAAGAGGAGAAGTTGACAAAGTTGGGAAGTTTGGTCTTGGATTTAATTCCGTGTACCATATTACTGACATTCCCATCATTATGAGTCGAGAATTCATGATCATGTTCGATCCAAACATAAACCATATCAGTAAACACATTAAAGACAAATCTAATCCTGGGATCAAAATTAATTGGAGTAAACAACAGAAGAGACTTAGGAAATTTCCTAATCAGTTCAAACCGTTCATAGATGTGTTTGGCTGTCAGTTACCCTTGACCATAGAAACACCTTACAGCTACAGTGGAACTCTTTTCCGGCTGTCCTTTAGAACACAACAGGAAGCAAAAGTGAGTGAAATCAGTAGCACCTGCTATAATACAGCTGATATCTACTCTCTTGTGGACGAATTTAGTCTCTGTGGACACAGGCTTATCCTCTTCACTCAGAATGTAAACTCAATGTATTTAAAGTATTTGAAAATTGAGGAAAGCAATCCCAGCTTAGCACAGGATACAATAATAATTAAAAAAAAACTCTGCTCTTCCAAAGCACTGAATGCACCTATCCTAAGTGTTTTAAAAGAAGCTGCTGAGCTCATGAAAACTTGCAGCAGCAGCAGCAACAAAAAGCCTCCTCCAGATGCGCCCAAGTCGTCTTGCATTCTTCAGATCACCGTTGAAGAATTTCACAACGTGTTCAGAAGGATTGCCGACTTGCAGTCGCCGCTGTTTAGAGGTCCAGACGATGACCCAGCTGCTCTCTTTGAAATGGCTAAATTGGGCCAATCGAAAAGGCCATCCGATGAGTTGCCCCAGAAAACAGCAGAGTGCACCACGTGGCTTCTGTGCAGCTGCATGGATGCAGGGGAGGCCCTGAGGTTCTCCCTGAGCGAAAGTGGGAGGAGACTGGGGCTGGTTCCCTGTGGGGCCGTGGGAGTTCTGCTCTCTGAAGTCCAGGACCAGAAGTGGGCTGTGAAACCACACACTGGAGAGGTGTTTTGCTACTTACCTTTACGAATAAAAACAGGGTTGCCAGTTCACATCAATGGGTGCTTTGCTGTCACTTGCAATAGAAAAGAGATCTGGAAGACAGATACGAAGGGACGGTGGAACACCACCTTCATGAGACACGTTGTTGTGAAGGCCTACCTCGAGGCGCTCAGTGTCCTGCGGGACTTGGCCATCGGTGGGGAGCTGGTGGATTACACTTACTATGCAGTGTGGCCCGATCCTGATTTAGTTCACGATGACTTTTCTGTGATTTGTCAAGGGTTTTATGAAGATATAGCTCATGGAAAGGGGAAAGAGTTGACCAGAGTCTTCTCTGATGGATCTACGTGGGTTTCCATGAAGAATGTGAGGTTTCTAGATGACTCTATACTTAAAAGAAGGGATGTTGGTCCAGCAGCCTTCAAGATATTTTTGAAATACCTCAAGAAGACTGGGTCAAAAAACCTCTGTGCTGTGGAACTTCCTTCTTCGGTAAAACTAGGATTTGAAGAAGCTGGCTGCAAACAGATACTGCTTGAAAATACATTTTCAGAGAAACAGTTTTTCTCAGAAGTGTTTTTCCCAAATATTCAAGAAATTGAAGCAGAACTCCGAGATCCTTTAATGAATTTTGTTCTGAATGAAAAAGTTGATGAATTCTCAGGAATTCTTCGGGTCACCCCGTGTATCCCTTGCTCTCTGGAGGGGCATCCTTTGGTTTTGCCTTCAAGATTAATTCACCCTGAAGGACGAGTCTCAAAGTTGTTTGATACTAAAGATGGACGCTTTCCTTATGGTTCTGCTCGGGATTATCTTAACCCTATTATTTTGGTTAAATTAGTTCAGTTAGGTATGGCAAAAGATGACATTTTATGGGATGACATGCTAGAACGTGCAGAGTCGGTGGCTGAAATTAACAAAACTGACCATGCGGCTGCTTGTCTGAGAAGCAGTATCTTGCTGAGTCTTATTGATGAAAAGCTAAAAATAAGGGATCCTAGAGCAAAGGATTTTGCTGCAAAGTATCAAACAATCCCCTTCCTTCCATTTCTGACAAAACCAGCAGGTTTTTCTCTGGACTGGAAAGGTAACAGTTTTAAGCCTGAAACCATGTTTGCTGCAACTGACCTGTATACAGCTGAGCATCAGGATGTAGTTTGTCTCTTGCAGCCAATTCTAAATGAGAACTCACATTCCTTTAGAGGTTGTGGTTCAGTGCCACTGGCTGTTAAGGAGTTTTTGGGATTACTGAAGAAGCCAACAGTTGATCTCGTTGTAAACCAATTGAAAGAAGTTGCGAAATCGGTTGATGATGGAATTACGTTATACCAGGAGAACATCACCAATGCTTGCTACAAATACCTACATGAAGCAATGATGCAAAATGAAAACACTAAGTTATCAATTGTTGAGAAGTTAAAATCCTTTAATTTCATTCTAGTTGAAAATGTATATGTTGGCTCCGAAAAGGTTTCTTTTCATTTGAATTTTGAAGCAGCACCATACCTTTATCAGTTGCCAAATAAATATAAAAATAATTTCCGTGAACTTTTTGAAAGTGTGGGCGTAAGGCAGTCATTTACTGTTGAAGATTTTGCCCTTGTTTTGGAAACCATTGATCAAGAAAGGGGGACAAAGCAAATAACAGAAGAGGGTTTCCAGCTTTGCCGGCGAATAATTAGTGAAGGGATATGGAGTCTTATTAGAGACAAGAAACAAGAATTTTGTGAGAGAAATTATGGCAGAATATTATTGCCAGATACTAACCTGAAGCTTCTCCCTGCTCAGTCTTTGTGCTACAACGATTGTCCCTGGATAAAAGTGAAGGACAGCTCTGTGAAGTACTGTCACGCTGACATACCCAGGGAAGTGGCTGTGAAACTGGGGGCAGTGCCAAAGCGACATAAAGCCTTGGAAAGGTACGCGTCCAACATCTGCTTCACTACTCTGGGCACTGAATTCGGACAGAAGGAGAAACTGACCAGCAGAATTAAGAGCATCCTTAATGCCTATCCTTCAGAAAAGGAAATGTTGAAAGAACTTCTTCAAAATGCCGATGATGCAAAGGCCACAGAAATCTGTTTTGTGTTTGACCCCAGGCAGCACCCGGTGGACAGGATATTTGACGACAAGTGGGCGCCCCTGCAGGGGCCGGCCCTTTGTGTGTATAACAACCAGCCTTTTACAGAAGACGATGTCAGAGGGATTCAGAATCTTGGAAAAGGCACCAAAGAAGGAAACCCTTACAAAACGGGGCAGTATGGAATAGGGTTCAATTCTGTGTACCATATAACAGACTGCCCTTCTTTCATTTCAGGAAATGACATCCTGTGCATTTTCGATCCTCATGCCAGGTACGCACCAGGGGCCACATCCATTAGTCCTGGCCGCATGTTTAGAGATTTGGATGCAGATTTCAGGACACAGTTCTCAGATGTTCTGGATCTTTACTTGGGAAACCACTTTAAACTGGATAATTGCACAATGTTTAGATTTCCTCTTCGTAATGCAGAAATGGCAAAAGTTTCAGAAATTTCTTCAGTTCCGTCATCAGACAGAATGGTCCAGAACCTTTTGGACAAATTGCGGTCAGATGGAGCAGAACTTTTAATGTTTCTTAATCACATGGAAAAAATCTCAATTTGTGAAATAGATAAAACCACTGGGGCTCTCAATGTGCTGTATTCTGTGAAGGGCAAAATCACCGATGGAGACAGATTGAAAAGGAAGCAATTTCACGCATCTGTAGTTGACAGCGTTACTAAAAAGAGACAGCTCAAAGACATCCCAGTCCAGCAGATCACCTATACTATGGATACTGAGGACTCTGAAGGAAACCTTACCACCTGGCTCATTTGTAATCGGTCAGGCTTCTCAAGTATGGAGAAAGTATCGAAGAGCGTCATATCAGCTCACAAGAACCAGGATATTACCCTCTTCCCGCGCGGCGGAGTGGCTGCCTGCATCACCCACAACTACAAGAAACCCCACAGGGCCTTCTGTTTCTTACCCCTCTCCCTGGAGACGGGCTTGCCGTTCCACGTGAACGGCCACTTTGCTCTAGATTCGGCCAGAAGAAATCTGTGGCGTGACGACAATGGAGTTGGTGTTCGGAGTGACTGGAATAACAACTTAATGACAGCATTGATAGCCCCTGCGTATGTCGAATTACTGATCCAGTTAAAAAAGCGGTATTTCCCTGGTTCTGACCCAACGTTATCCGTTTTACAGAACACACCTATTCATGTCGTGAAGGACACTTTGAAGAAATTTTTGTCATTTTTCCCAGTCAACAGGCTTGATCTGCAACCAGATTTGTACTGTCTAGTGAAAGCACTTTATAGTTACATTCACGAGGATATGAAACGTCTTTTACCTGTTGTACGGGCTCCAAACATTGACGGCTCTGATCTGCATTCTGCAGTTATAATTACTTGGATTAATATGTCTACTTCAAATAAAACGAGGCCATTTTTTGACAACTTACTGCAGGATGAATTACAAAACCTTAAAAATGCAGATTATAATATCACAACACGGAAAACAGTAGCAGAGAACGTGTATAGACTGAAACACCTGCTTTTGGAAATTGGCTTCAACTTGGTTTACAACTGTGATGAAACCGCCAACCTGTACCACTGTCTCATTGACGCAGATATTCCCGTGAGCTATGTGACCCCCACTGACGTCAGGGCTTTTTTAATGACGTTCTCCTCTCCAGACACCAACTGCCACATTGGGAAACTGCCTTGTCGTCTCCAGCAGACTAACCTAAAACTTTTTCATAGTTTAAAGCTTTTAGTTGATTATTGTTTTAAGGATGCAGAGGAAAGTGAGATAGAAGTGGAGGGACTTCCCCTTCTCATCACACTGGACAGTGTTTTGCAAACTTTTGATACAAAGCGACCCAAGTTTCTAACAACATACCATGAATTGATTCCATCCCGCAAAGACTTGTTCATGAATACATTGTATTTGAAATACAGTAATATTTTATTGAGCTGTAAGGTTGCAAAAGTGTTTGACATCTCCAGCTTTGCTGATTTGTTGTCTTCTGTATTGCCTCGTGAATATAAGACTAAAAATTGTACAAAGTGGAAAGATAATTTTGCAAGTGAGTCCTGGCTTAAGAATACATGGCATTTTATCAGTGAATCTGCAAATGTGAAAGAAGACCAAGAAGAAACAAAACCAACATTTGACGTTGTTGTTGATACCCTAAAAGACTGGGCATTGCTTCCAGGAACAAAGTTCACCGTGTCAGCCAATCAGCTTGTCGTTCCTGAAGGGGATGTTCTGCTGCCTCTGAGCCTGATGCACATCGCAGTTTTCCCAAATGCCCAGAGTGATAAAGTGTTTCATGCTCTCATGAAAGCTGGCTGCATCCAGCTTGCTTTGAACAAAATGTGTTCCAAAGACAGTGCATTTGTTCCTCTGTTGTCATGTCACACGGCAAACATAGAGAGCCCCACGAGTATTTTGAGGGCTGTACACTATATGGTTCAAACTTCAACGTTTAGAACTGAAAAATTAGTAGAAAATGACTTTGAAGCACTTTTGATGTATTTCAACTGCAATTTGAGTCACTTGATGTCCCAAGATGACATAAAAATTTTAAAGTCACTTCCATGCTACAAATCCATCAGTGGTCGCTATATGAGCATTGCAAAATTTGGAACATGCTATGTGCTTACAAAAAGTATTCCCTCAGCAGAAGTGGAAAAGTGGACACAATCATCATTATCTGCATTTCTTGAAGAGAAAATACACTTAAAAGAACTGTATGAGGTGCTTGGCTGTGTGCCTGTGGATGACCTTGAGGTATATTTGAAACACCTCTTACCAAAAGTTGAAAATCTCTCCTATGATGCAAAATTAGAGCATTTGATCTACCTTAAGAATAGATTATCAAACATTGAGGAATTGTCAGAGATCAAGGAACAACTTTTTGAAAAACTGGAAAGTTTATTGATAATCTATGATGCTAACAATCGATTAAAGCAAGCAAAACATTTCTATGATAGAACTGTGAGAGTTTTTGAAGTTATGCTTCCTGAAAAATTGTTTGTTCCAAAGGACTTCTTTAAAAAATTGGAACAACTTATAAAACCCAAAAATCAAGTTGCATTTATGACCTCCTGGGTGGAATTCTTAAGAAATATTGGACTAAAATACATACTTTCTCAGCAGCAGTTGTTACAGTTTGCTAAGGAAATCAGTGTGAGAGCTAACACAGAAAACTGGTCTAAAGAAACATTGCAAAATACAGTCGATATCCTTCTCCATCATATATTCCAAGAACGAACAGATTTATTATCTGGAAGTTTTTTGAAAGAACTGTCTTTAATACCATTCTTATGTCCTGAGCGGGCCCCTGCTGAATTCATTAGATTTCACCCTCAGTATCAAGAGGTAAATGGAACACTTCCACTTATAAAGTTCAACGGGGCACAAGTGAATCCAAAATTCAAGCAGTGTGACGTGCTGCAGCTGTTATGGACATCCTGCCCTATTCTTCCAGAGAAAGCCACGCCCCTGAGCATCAAAGAACAGGAAGGTAGTGACCTTGGCCCACAAGAGCAGCTTGAACAAGTCTTAAGCATGCTTAACGTTAACCTGGATCCCCCTCTTGATAAGGTCATTAATAACTGTAGGAACATATGCAACATTACAACTTTGGATGAAGAAATGGTAAAAACCAGAGCAAAGGTCTTGAGGACCTTATATGAATTTCTCAGTGCAGAAAAAAGGGAATTTCGTTTCCAGCTGCGGGGCGTTGCTTTTGTGATGGTAGAGGATGGTTGGAAGCTTCTGAAGCCTGAAGAGGTAGTGATAAATCTAGAATATGAATCTGACTTTAAACCTTACTTGTACAAACTGCCCTTGGAACTTGGCACCTTTCATCAGCTGTTCAAACATTTAGGTACCGAAGATGTCATTTCAACTAAGCAGTATGTTGAAGTGTTGAGCCGCATATTCAAAAGTTCCGAAGGAAAGCAATTAGATCCTAATGAAATGCGTACAGTTAAGAGAGTAGTTTCTGGTTTGTTCAAGAGTCTACAAAACGACTCAGTCAAGGTGAGGAGTGAGCTTGAGAATGTACGCGACCTTGCCCTTCACCTTCCAAGCCAAGATGGTAGACTGGTGAAGTCCAGCATCTTAGTGTTTGATGATGCGCCGCATTACAAAAGTAGAATCCAGGGGAATATTGGTGTGCAAATGTTGGTTGATCTGAGCCAGTGCTATTTAGGGAAAGACCACGGGTTTCATACTAAGTTAATAATGCTTTTTCCTCAAAAACTCAGACCCCGTTTACTGAGCAGTATACTTGAAGAGCAGCTGGATGAGGAGATGCCCAAGGTGTGTCAGTTTGGGGCCCTGTGCTCTCTCCAGGGAAGGTTGCAGCTCCTCCTGTCTTCTGAACAGTTCATTACGGGACTGATTAGAATCATGAAGCATGAAAACGATAACGCTTTCCTGGCCAATGAAGAAAAAGCCATAAGACTTTGCAAAGCCCTAAGAGAAGGCCTGAAAGTGTCCTGTTTTGAAAAACTCCAGACAACATTGAGAGTTAAAGGCTTTAATCCCATCCCCCACAGTAGAAGTGAAACTTTTGCTTTTCTGAAGAGATTCGGGAATGCTGTTATCCTGCTGTACATACAACATTCAGACAGCAAAGACATTAATTTTCTACTAGCATTAGCAATGACGCTTAAATCGGCCACTGACAACTTGATTTCTGACACTTCGTACTTAATTGCTATGCTGGGATGCAATGATATTTATAGGATCAGTGAGAAACTCGACAGTTTAGGGGTGAAATATGACTCCTCAGAACCGTCAAAGCTTGAACTTCCAATGCCTGGCACTCCAATACCCGCCGAAATTCATTACACCCTGCTTATGGATCCGATGAATGTCTTCTACCCGGGAGAATACGTGGGGTACCTGGTCGATGCCGAAGGGGGTGACATCTACGGGTCATACCAGCCAACGTACACATACGCAATCATTGTACAAGAAGTTGAAAGAGAAGATGCCGACAACTCTAGCTTTCTAGGGAAGATCTATCAGATTGATATTGGGTACAGTGAATATAAAATAGTTAGCTCCCTTGATCTTTATAAGTTTTCAAGGCCAGAGGAAAGCTCTCAAAGCCGAGACAGCGCCCCTTCTACCCCAACCAGCCCTACGGAGTTCCTCGTCCCCGGCGTACGAAGCGTCCCTCCTCTCTTCTCTGGCAAAGAGGGCCACAAGACCTCCTCTTCCAAACACCACCCCCCAAAGAAGCTCAAGGTGAGTTCTTTACCAGAAGTTTTAAAAGAAGTGACGGCAGTGGTGGAGCAAGCTTGGAAGCTTCCAGAATCTGAGAGAAAGAAGATTATTAGGCGGTTATATTTGAAGTGGCACCCTGACAAAAATCCAGAGAACCATGACATGGCCAATGAGGTTTTTAAACATTTGCAGAATGAAATTAACAGATTAGAGAAACAGTCTTTTCTGGATCAAACTGCAGACAGAAGCTCGAGGCGGACGTTTTCCACCTCGGCCTCCCGATTTCAGTCAGAGAAATACTCATTTCAGAGGTTTTATACTTCATGGAATCAAGAAGCGACAAGCCATAAATCTGAACGACAACAGCAAAATAAAGACAAATGCCCGCCTTCAGCTGGACAGACTTACTCCCAGCGGTTCTTTGTTCCTCCCACGTTCAAGTCCGTCGGTAACCCGGTTGAAGCACGGAGGTGGTTAAGACAAGCCAGAGCGAATTTCTCAGCTGCCAGGAATGACCTTCATAAAAATGCCAATGAGTGGGTGTGCTTCAAGTGCTACCTTTCCACCAAGTTGGCCTTGATCGCTGCTGACTATGCTGTGAGGGGCAAGTCCGATAAGGACGTGAAGCCAACTGCACTTGCCCAAAAAATAGAGGAATATAGTCAGCAACTGGAAGGACTGACCAATGACGTCCACACTTTGGAAGCATACGGGGTGGACAGTTTAAAAACGAGATACCCCGATTTGCTCCCTTTCCCACAGATCCCCAATGACAGGTTCACGTCTGAGGTGGCCATGAGGGTGATGGAGTGTACTGCCTGTATCATCATAAAACTTGAAAACTTTATACAACAGAAAGCGTGACAGTGTTTGAAGAAAAACAGTAGACCTGAGTCCTGAATGTGTCATAGCACAAATAGGAACTGCTGCCCTCCCTCCAGCTTCATGGCTGCGTGTCAGGAACTGCAGAACACAGAGCAGGCTGCCTGGAAAGGATCTTGGAGTTGCTGTGACTGCGAGTATCCACAGAAGACCTTGACTGATTCTAAGAGGAAATTATTTTGAAAGCAGTGGTGGACTGCAGAATCACTAGATGTACTTGAATGGCTAAGACAGCCTAGTGTTGAATTGCACTTTGTCACCAAAGCTTGGCCGTTTGTTAGAGGGGAGTCTGCTCGTGCCTGTGGTTGGGATAGAGTTAATTTTGTGTTTTTAACGTGGTCTTTTCGAAGGAGCTAACAAAACACTGGAATACCATTGGTTTAAACAAATAAGGGGAATTAAGTCCTAGAATTTTATTGTTTCTTTAAGTGGGTCCTCTTGGCCATATGCTGTTTTCTTATCAGCTGGATCTGATTATGAATTTGTTGCCATTTTACATCTTAAATCCTCAGTCCATTGAAAGCGTGGTACCATGTTTTATTCCTGAACGTTACTTGATTAGGAGCAGGCGGGTAGTGCTTGTTACGGTGCGCTGGGTGCACTTTGCATCTTTACGTGAAATGTTTTTTACACTTTATGTTTACAGTTGCCTCTTTCAGGAAGATAGTGTATGGGAAACTCAAAACTGTGGCAGTTCTTACCACCAGGTGTCCATATTGCTTCCGGGAACTGCTTACCAAAACAACATTTATCAGCTGTTAGAACATTGGCCTCATGTTCGTTTGTACATACTTTCCACAGATGTCCTAATTTATATAGTGTAGCTGAACAGGATACGGTCTTTCATTGTCTAAAGGTGCTGCAGTTAAAAAAAAAAATCCTTGTCTTTCAAAATGGCACTTGGTGGAGCCTTGAAAAACTGTAGAATCATTGTGACAACATCCAGTAGTTTGTAAGAGAGGAATGGTCAGCTGTGTGTCCCGTGAACGAGCAGAATCGACCGTTCACTCCCGTTGTGTTTGAATGTCCCACCACAGGCGTCTAACGCACTTCTTGAACAGAATGTAAAAGGGTAATGATAAGTAGTTCACACGTGTGCTGGCTGTAAATGATGCTAAAAGTTGACGCTAAAAATATTATATTTTTAATTGCATAAAAATATAATATTTTATGCAGTTAAGGGCTTATGGAACATTACACCTTTTTTACTTTTATTGGTAATAAGGAATGTCTGCACCACCGTGATTCTCTTGCTTCTGGATGTGGAGCCGTGTAACTTTCTGCTGTTATATTAAGTGCCATAATTTTAATAAAGTGAAACGTACATATGAAACCATTGCAACTGGTGTTTTCTGAGAACTAGTTCATTGACAATCAAACTTAATGTCTTCCTATATTAAGTTTTCATATGCGTGTATATGTGGGTTTATTGGAAATATGGAATTTTCCCATATTTTTTATACTGGAATTTTGGAAGATTTCTTTTTCATGATTGAATATAAAGTACTATGTTTATTAGGTGCTTATTGATGAAGGAATTTATCTGATCATACCTTTTTAGGGAATATGCACACACATAGTGTGTACAGGGTGGGGCAGAAGTGGGCTCAGCTGTGAGTACACCACACACACAGTTTCTCCCTGAGCCCTTATTATGTGTTGCATCATTCTCCATGTTGACAGCTGGAAGCCTGCTTGTGCCCCGCCCTGAGCATGTGTGTGTTTGGAAGAAGAGACACTGGATGTGGCACCCAGCAGGCAGAGTCTGACTTGCTGTTTTCTGTGCCTCCGGAGAAGGCTTCGTGCTTGGGGGCTAATTCACACCTGAGCCCTAATGGGTGGGAAATCTTTACCTTCACATCTGAGGCGGAGGTCCTCGGAGGTAGGCAAGCAGTGCTGAGTTCTGCGTCCTGAGGCAGCCCAGACTCTGGGTCTGCAGCTTCCTGGGCCTTTGTAAAGAAGCGCTTGCTGCTTTGGAGCTCAGTTGCAGCACTTGGAGGATACGTTACTGCTCTGGGTTGTTAAAACTGACACAGGAAACTTAGTCTGGCCCTTGTGTTACCTGACCCCGTTGGAGTCCTGGGTGGCTTTTTAAAAAGACTTTCTTTTTAAAAAAGTTACAGGTTCACAGTCCCTGGTATGAAACCGTTGCATTCAGATGTACTTCAGAATTTGGATTTTAGAAAGTAAGCATTCCCATCAAGTTGCTATTTTTGCAGGGAAGTCTGTGAATATTCACATCGAGTTGAATAGAGACCTGGTAAGCAGCCTTAGATAAATGTAGGTCATGTTTTGCAGCCAACATATTCAGAAGTTTTTCATTTGGGGGAGCTTTTTAGGTTTTAAAATTCAGTGTAAAGAATGTTGTACCTGAACTAACTATTTTATGCTTGTTCTTTTTTGCCCTGTTTTGCTTTCCCTATTAAAAGGAAGGTGGAAACTCAGCCAGTGTGCAGGGCAGCTGCTCAGGAGGAGCGCACATTCCAGACGGGGCTGGAACGGGTGTCCCCACGCTCAGGAGCGGGTGCCCGCGTTCGGGAGCAGGCTCCGAGAGCCCAAGAAGGATGTTGGTAAACTGTTCCAATCGGGTTTACTAAAATAAAGTTGCTACCAGGTCTGACTTGGGGATAGGTGGGGTTTTCTTCTATTTGTGCAAGTCGGCATTTTCTGCACTTCAGTGTTTTGTGGATGTAAAGAGAGTAAAATCAGTAGTGTGCTGGTGGAAAACAGGAATTAGGAAAGATTCCTGTTACGTTAGTGACGGTTCTCGCAGAGCAAGCCCGAGGAGAGCCGTAGATGCAGTAGACACAGCTGTGCGGAGAGGTCCACGAGGATTTCCAGGGACTGACTCGTGCGTGAGGGGATAGCCAGGTTCTCTGTTCCCAGGCCAGGCCCGCGCTCCGTTCTGGAAATGCGCGGGCAGGGGCTGAAGCTGCAGTCTGCAGGTGGGATTTCCTAGACCTTTGGCTTCTAAGTTTCACCACCGCACCCCTCTCCCCCCCCCCCCCCAGTTATCTCATTTTCACCACGGTGGCCCACAGCAGCTCTTCCGAGCACCCTGCCGGGGTGCGTGCTTTGGGCTTGGAGGTCCGTGTATCCTGCATTGCCGTCTACCCACAGCCATGACACTTGTGTGTGCGTGGTGGGACTTGTTACTGCACACTGAAGCCAAAATGGGGGAGGTTTTATTTTAAATCTCTGGGGAGAGTTACGTGTTTCCGGTGTATCCTCTCTCGACAAGTGCCTTGGGGAGTGTCCTCGTTTGAACTCTGAATACAAAGCCAGCCCTTGAAGAAAAAAACCGAAGTCACACTGTCTATTTCCTAAAAAAATTGTAAATTGTGTTTTACATAGCATTACCCTTAGATCTGGTTCCACCTGCTTCTTAGTACTTGATACAATGTTTATGTGGTTTGCACGCAGCAGTCAACTTGGGGTGGAATTGGAAACGCGGAGTAGGAAGGAAAGGAGGACAGGCACTACTTTGTAGTCTTGTCAGTCTTGTCGGCGAGGGGGGGGTGCTCTGCCCTTTCAGAAGACTGACTCCCACCCACTCATACCACTCCTTAGAGAGTCGGAGGCTGAGCCACTAATTGAGTGGACAGGGAGGACCTGGACGGGCGGGGGTGGGGTCGGGGTCGCCCCCTCCTGGTTTGAATTTGGCTGCCTTCGGAGCAGGGGCACCGCCCTACCCACCCTGCCCTGCGTAGTGAGCCCCGGGTTCTGCCTGGGTTCTGCCCGGGTCAGGAGCATGCGATACTCAGCCGTTCAGTCTTAGAAAGTCATTTTTGCTGTTACTCAAGAGTTCTTTAGTAGTCAGGCTAATATTTTGATTTTTTTTTTCTTATGTCTACTCAGTTGGTTTGGAAATGGGAAAAAAAGTAAGGATTTTGAGCAAAATGTCAACACCTGCTGGTCTTATTATTACTTGGCATTAGGGGTGTCGGTTTATCTACCTTGCTAGTGTATATGCATAATCATGACCTTAGACCTTTGATAATAGTTAAAATGACATTGTATAATGCATTTAAGAAGGCAGATTCATGGACTACATTTGAGAATACCGTCTCTCTAAAAGTTTTCATTGTAACCAGGGAGAAATGTCTTATGTCTCTCTGGAGAATGTAGATACCCTTAACAATTTCTTTCACGATGATGCCGTAAAGCAAAGGGGCAAAAATAAATCTAATTTACACCTTTTATTTAAAAGGTTCTATTCTTCATACTTTCTCCTTCATACTTCTTCTTGACCTCACTTTATCATTTAAGCACCATTTTTTTTAACCCTCACCCGAGGACATTTTTTTTCATTGCTTTTAGACAGACAGGAAGGAAGGGAGAGAGAGAAACATCAATTGATTGCCTTCTCGTTCGCATCCTGACCAGGAAGGGAACACGCACCCTGCCCATGTGCCCTGAGCAGGAATCGAACCCCGACCTTTCAGTCTATGGGACGACACTCCAGGTAGCCCAGCCACCCGGCTAAGCACCGTTATTTTCTAACGTGAACTGTGAGAACCAAGCTAATGTGTGAATGTTCCACGGTGATCCTGCCTTACGTCAGCTGGGCTTCAGGTTACTTCCTTTGCACAAACATGGAACCAGTAAATATGATCCAAAAAATGGCAACACTATTTACTATGGCAATAGTAATGTCATAGTAAGAAAGTAGACGTTAATTTAAATCAAGACTTAAACAGAAATGAAAGAACAATTTGTGATTTAAAAGAACCCACCCCCTGTGAAACTGGAAAAGCAGATTGGAGTTGAGTTAGGAAGCTCCGTGGTTTTATTTTGCAATTTCAAGTCTTCACACACACTTGCAATTTAAAGTCGAATTGTTACAAGTGGGCTACCCACTGCTCAACAAACACCACCCCGCAAAACAGCATTAGGAATGAGCTCACTTTTCTGTTTCCCGTTTTGAGACTAGAAAATTGATTGGAACTTGTGATTATAGTTGCAAATCCCATAATTGGAAAGCTGTGATGCTGTTGATGCCCCCACACCTTGTACTGCTGGGGGATCTAATCATGACAGCTGGTCAAACACAGAACAAACCCAAACCCACCACGCCTCGGGAGGGCGGGCGCGTGAGAGACGAGAGGCTTACACGTAGCCAGCGGGTTTCACAGGTGATACGGCAACTTCCACAACCAGTCGGCACTGCATGTATTTTCACAGGGTCTGACTCCGTGATGTCGGAGCCAGTGTCGCACCTGTCCCCGGGCAGAGGCAGGTCCCCGGGACGGGCAGCCCCGTGCCCCACCACCTCGCTGTTGGACCTCCACCAGCGACAGAGGCGCCACTGGGACTTCGGCTTCTTCGCGGAAGGGGTGTCATCCCCTCTGCACAGTTACCCTGTGGACCGGGGTTCGCGATGGAGTGAAACAACATACCCAGGTCTTCCCAAGGGACAACCGCTGTTCAGGTGCAGGGTCACTGTTTAACTTCCAATAGAAACTGCGTGACCTGGTGACTTCCTCTGCCTGAACCATTCTTTTCCATCACCAGTAACTTGGAAGAAAAATAGTACCTACCTCAAAGAGTTGTGAGGCTTAAAGAAAGTAAGGCACTCAAACTGTGAAGTTGGTGACAAGCAGAGGTTGGTTTTTATTGCTCATTGACAATACAGAAAGCGTGATTAATTTTGTGTAATTTACTCCTTTGACTACATATTGAACATCAGCGCAACCTTGAAGTCCCTTTTAAACCGAAGAAGGACTTTCCTGTGAACCGAGACATAACTACATTAAAATGAAGAGGGAACTCGCAGGCTTGAGTGATGTAAGAGAAGCACCTCGCAGAACTCGGGGTGCTGACCAATGCCACTTCTATGGGGCATCAGACAGCCACACTGGAACACCACAGATCAATCCCACACAGCCGTTCAGGATCTCCTGGTAGATTGACACGTACGAGAAAGGAAAAGGGAATTCGCACAGTTCTGACGACACTCAGTCTGGAGGAATAAACAGTCCACTGGCGTTGCTTTGACTTTCGCATCTAACACCCACACACGTCGTCTGAACACCTTCATGGGCACGCTTTTCCTTCTGAGCGCCTTTTGGAAGTGTGTCCTCTGCCACCTACCCGCTCCTCTTCCCAGGGTCTCACGTCGCTTGAGGTCAGTATTTCAGGTTCGCTGAGACACAGCAGAGCTCCACGGAAAACGTGGCTGGTTCAGAGACAGACGTGGCTGTTTTCGTGGCACGTGGTGTCTGCGGCAGCCACAGACAGGTAAAGCTTCCCATCTGGACACGCGCAGATCTCGTAGAGTCCCTGTGAGCTGGCAGTGGGCCCCGCAGTCCCCTGAGCCAACTCGGGTAGACACAGAGTTTCAGCATCAAGCACGAGCTGTTTGGGAGACAAGAGAGGTGACGTGGTGAGGGAGGAGCGCACAGGATAAGTGTAAACCCCTCTTCCCAACACGCTCTGAACAAGCTCGTTTTCTCTCTGTAGAGAAAACGAGGAAGCACCTGGTTTGAGTTGTCGTATTATCTCAATCTGGTAAAGCCCATTTCCATTTTACACGCAGGCAGGGTGTTCCTGATTCCTCCTCCAGCCTGCAGGGGGCTCATCTTTGTTCTGCCCACGTGCGGGCTGAGCCAGGGAAATGTATGATGCTCCCCCCGCCGCAGTGCCTTCCAGAATGAGCTGGCGGAAGAAGCGATAGAATTCTCGGGCCACTTCATGTTTATCATGTTGACTTTGTTAAATCATGTTCTCTTTCCCATTAGGACCGATTCTAAGCCACAGAACTAGATTCTTCTAAGTAGTTTTTTTTACCTGCAAGTGTTGGAATCTCCCCTAATTTTATTTTCCCGTGAAAGACAAATAAATACATCCTAATTGCCATCCACCATTTCCCCAAATTTTAAAATAACGAAACTGCTGCCTTTCATCAGCTGGGGAAAAGCAGGGGACAGACAGGCAAAGGCCAACTGAAATGAAAGCGGCCGAGTTGTGCGTTTCGGCCACAGTGCAGTTCGGCTGAAACGCAAACAGATGGCCATGGGTGGAGATTCGGAAGCCTTTCCATAACCGAAGGTGGTACGAGTTGCTGTGGACCCAGTGTTCTTCCTCGCCCACAAGGGTGCCTCCTCCCTCCTTCGCGGGGCTCCATCCGTGAACCCCAGTGCTGGAAGGAGCTGCGGTGTGCAGGCTGCCCTCCCGCCCTGGACACGGGCTGACTGCTGCTGGGGGCAGCAGGGGCTACAGCTGCATCAGGGACATTGCAGGCAGAGCTCTCCCCTCGTGCTCTGAGGCTCATGGGTGTTGCTTTAAAAAAGCAGAGTCTGTACACGTCACTGCCCTGTGCTGTGGGTCCCATGGGAGCTGCCAGCTTTTGCCCACATGCTCTTGTTTTTCTCTCTCTTCTCTGCTGCTCCTCTCTCCTTTCTTATGAATAATTGGCCAGTCTCCTTTCTAGTTGTTACTTTTTTACCCAGCAAACTCTAGTCGCTGGTAGTTCACACACTGCTTCCCTGCTCATCCTCTTACACTTTTATGGGACAGGATTCTGTGGGAGGCCACAGGTGGTCACCTTCCTCTAAACGGGCCCCAGGAATGAGGGACGGGAACTTCAATTCTGGGTCAGGCTGGGCTGGGTATGAACTGATGCCTAAATCGAGGGGGAGAAGATGTTCCATTATTTAAAAATTACAGTCAGTATATGTTTCTTTGGGTTTTAAGTATGCAATGATGTTGTGATCTAGTAGTAAGATTCCAGAATTCCTGATTTCCACATGTGCATTTATCTGCTCCTGGCATCACGGCTCCCTCAGTGGAAGCTCGAGTAAGCCCCGCCCATGACTTTCACCCACTCCCAGGCCCTAGACGGGGCCTGTCCGCACTCACGAGCTGCCTCGCACGGCATCCGCTTGCTGCCTCAGCTACACTTCCTCTTAATGTTAAATTCTTAAATTTAGCGTAATGTCAAAACGTCACCCCTGTTCCCACATGGGTGTCTCATAGACCTGCGACATAGTGAAGCATGGTGTCCCCTCAACTCAGAAAGGTGGTCTGTGCACTGATTGAGCACTAGAACATTCTGGGCTGAGAAGCACATGCTCCACAGCCTTGCACGACTGTGGCCGGTATCAGTGATGCACTGTCTCGGGACGGGAAGTTGCAGATTTTATCCCCACTGTGGTTGACTTCTGAAGATCTTGTTTTCACCCGAACACAACTTGGCACGTGGAAGCCAGTGCTCTGAGCAGTGACAGATAATGGCCGTCACTTCCAGGTCTCTCCTCCCTGTGACGGCTGCTTGGAGACAAGCCCAACCACCATGGAAAGGGCAGTGTTCACAGTCCCTGCACCCGCTACAGGTCCAGGGTATGTTTTCAAAGCTGAAAGTAACAGGAGACCGGGCGCACGAACACCAGCCAAAGAAACTCTGGGTCCAGTTCTATGCAGGGGTGTCCAACCTTGTGGTGTCTCTGGGCCACACTGGAAGGAGAAGAGTTGTCCTGGGCCACACATTAAATACATGGTGACACGTAATCACACACACAAAAATCTCATCACGTTTTAAATAGTTTACAGTTTTGTGTTGGGCCGCATTCACAGCCATGCTCAGGTGGCCCATGGGCCTCGGGCTGGACACCCCCGAACACAGAATTATTTTAACCTTTATTGGACCTTCGTTCAATGCCCAGTGAGCATTGGCCTTTGTTTCACATGTTCTACTCTTACGCTTTTCCTGCGGTTTCTTTACAAACGACCTTCAATTTGACCTGCCGGCACCTTCCAGACACGCACATCGTGAGGACACAGGCCTCCCACGGGCTCGCACAGACTCACCCGACCGTCGCCGCCGTGAAAAACGATGTCCATCTGAGAAAGGGCCTGGATGCTCCCGGCTCGAGCGTGGATGTGAACGCCCTGTGGGGCATCCATGCTCAGGCTTCGCGTGGGAGATTCTAATCTGAAACGAGGGCAAGAGACCAGGGAGAGACGGCATCACAAGGAGCCACCCAGGCACCCCTCCGCGAAGAGCCTTGCCCAGAGAAAACCATGAATGAGGCATACGGCACCGTCGCATCGCTCTCGAGTGCAAATATAGTGTGCACTGTTCGTGGACAAGGCCAGAAATCAGCTTTCTATCAGTGAGATGGCACGTGGTTAGTACCCCCTAAAAACATACCCCTGTGCAGAAGGTTCAGACGCCGGGCGGAGCGCGCTGGCGGGCCAAACCAGAAGGACGTGCCCTTTGCGAAAAACCTTGTGGAGCTATTTTCTTAGTTGAAGCACAGACTTGTTTGGGGAAAAGGTAAATTGAAGGGCAGCATATGCATTTGCTTCATAAACTAGAATGTCCGTTTGGCCTTTAGGTTTTGTTTGTGTTTATTTATTTTTATTAATTTAAGGAGAGGACAGGGCAGGTGCAAAGATTTTTGGGGGGGAACCACTGAACCGGTGGCGTTAACACGCGGAATGGATATTGGGCTCAGCTGGCTTTGTTTTCGTAAACTTGAAAAGAATCTCGTTGTGATGGAGTCAAACGTGTGACAGAAATTCTAGGTATATATGGGCCAGGAAATGTGCCTCTGCCTGGAAAGCACTGAATCTCCACCAGATGGCGCCATGGGATCACGTGAAAGATTTTTCCGTGACTCCAACCCAACCCCGCCCAGAAGTTTGGAAGGCTGATAGGCTGAAAAGTTTCAAGATGAGGAGCGGAAGAGCAGGGTAGAAAAAGAGTTGTATCTTCCTGAGGGGTAAGTTCAGCGTGCAGGTGGGTAGGAGAGAGAAGAGGAAATGATTAAGAAGAGGGAAATACCCTGATCAGGAATTTGCTTTTGAATCGACTGAATATGTACTTGATAGAGTTTCAAATCAGATGGCCACCACCTGTAATTGGCAAGTTTTTTGTCTACCGATATTGGTTATAGTAAACAAAGTTTCATTTTCTTATGTACATCTCAGTGTGTAAGCTTTGGTCTTTTACATGTTTTGAAATCTCAGTCTGACTTTGAGAAAACTCAGAGACACTGATGGTGGGATTTATTGGTCACATGACATTGGGCTTCGGTTTTGGGGTAACACCGGTATTTACAGATGAGCTTGGTCTGGCTGGTGGCCCATTTTGCGATTTTGACCTTTGCTAATTGCCTCCTTTTGTCCTGCCCAGACTGATCAGGAGGAGGAGGGCAAGAGGAAGGCAGGGAAGGAGACTTGTAAACCAGCGGTCAAGGTCTGCTCTGTTTCAGGCAAACCGTTTGTGAACTTGAAGCCCCTGGTGAAAGGGGTCTGTTTCAAAGATTGGATAACCACAAAATGGCCTCCACAGGGCCAATTACTCATCTTTAACCTTATTATTACAATATGATGCTTCGAGAAAAGCAAATCTCTTCCCCTTTGCCATCATTTCTAGCCTTGAAGACGAACTATTTCACTTTAGGTCAGCTCACGACACGTGTCACCAAAAAGCCTGTGACTAGAAGTATGCATTTCTACAAGCACGTTGGAGAGGACTCGGAAAGAAAGTAATTTATTTTTTTCTTTCTGCTCTGTTTTAGTTTGCTTGTTAGATATCAACCGTTTTCTTCAAATATGTGCATATATAAATACTTACCAGTGACATATAAAGACCAAAAAGTTTTGAACACTCACAGAATTCTATTCAAATGAATAAATAAACAAATAAGCTGTGTCTGTGTATATGTACATTTACACACAAAATCCATGTTAAAAAAGTACAATTGCAATAATTTGGTTGCTAAAGCAGGTGAGTTTTAAGTGGCATTCCTCTCAAGATGAAGATAAATAGAGTTCATTAATTCCCCAAAGATTTACACACGATATAATGTTACTCCCTGGTGTACAGTGTAGTGATCTGACATTTCCATCCGATGTGCCCACCACACTGCGTGCGAACCATCTGTCACCACACGAAGTCATCACACTGTGACCGTATCCCCGTCACCTTTCACGCCCATCTCCCCACCCCTTCCCTCCGGCAGCAGTCCTTTATTCTTTGTTTCTGTGAGTCTGTCATTTTGTTTTGCTTGTTTGTTTTTTAATATAATACATTTCCATAAAATAAAATTCTCTCTTTTTAAATTACACTTTGCATTCAAAATTATTTTGTATTAGTTTCGCCTGAGTGCAGGCACCGTCATTGGTCAGTTGGAAAAGGTAAAAGTCGACCCAGACCTCGCGCCTCGTGCAACAATAAACTCTAAGTGGATCAAGGACCTAAATGTGAAAGGTGCAACCATACAGGAAACCTGGCTGCCAAGTCCTCCTCCTGCAGGAAAGTCTTTGAACTAACGGCTTAAAATCTAGATGTAATAAAAAAAAAAACTGACTGCTAAAGTTGAGTGTATAAACATTACAATCAATGAAACAGTAGAAAAAGGTTAATATTCATAATATACAGTATATTAACCCCTACAAATTAATTTTTTAAGTAATTAAAGAAGAAAAGGAGATGAGTCAATTCACAGAAGAAGCAACTCATTTTTCCCTCATCTTTGTATTCAAGTTCCTTTCCTGTGTGAAGATTCTACTCGTACCTGTTTTAAAGTCTCTTCACTTTGCCCCACTACCTAGAGTTTTGGGGGTTGACTTGTCCTGGTTGCTAATTCTTGGCACTGGCAGTTTGATTCTTTATCCTTTTATCTTTTCTTCTTCCTTTGATAAGCTCATCTTCAGCAAAAACTTTTCCACAGGTGTTTTTATGTCACAGATAATAGAATAATGTCTTTAATGCAGTTCCCTTTTCCTTTTACTGTCCTGCAGGATAATAGACTTGGTGCAGTTTTTAATGTTAATTCTCCAGCGTGGAACTTCTTTAGAATGAAGTCGTATAGACAGTCCTCCTACCATGGCCAGTGATGGCTTGTAATTTGTGATTTCTTCTAAGTTTTTCAACCCATGACCCAGGGTAATAATCTTTCTTGCAGCTTCCTTGGGCTATTGTGCAAATTGTTTGAAATACCTGTTCCAGGGTGGGGGGCAGGATTTCTGAGTCATGCATCCTCAGGGACCCTCGGTCCCACATGTCATGCACACTAGGCCAGAGCCTGGGCCCTCAGCCCCCACGATCTACTACCGTCCCCGCCTCTGCTCTACGGGACCCCAGTTTATCCGCCAGTGTCTTGGCTTAGTTCCCACTCCGCCCACACATTTGCTCTTTATTACTAGAACCTGCGAATTAGCTTTGCTTGGTTTCTACTTGAGCAATATTTATCAACTTTTAGTAAGTAAACCTGGGTTTACAAGTGTTTCAAGTAGAAAATGCTTCCATGTCTGCTCATTCTACTTATTCAGTGAACAGACACGCACGCTACTGACCACGTGCGAGGCATTGTTTCCAGCAATTTACACATAATAACTCATCATTCTTATTTTTATCTTCATCCTGAGGACATTTTCTGTCATTGCTTTTTTAGAAAGAGAATAAAGCAGGGAGGAAGAGAGAAATATCAATGTGAGTGAGAAACATCTATTGGTTGCCTCTCGTATGTGCCCAGACTGTGGGCTTGAACCCACAACCCAGCATGTGCCCTGACCGGGAATCAAACCGGCACCCTTTTGGTTATGGGATGATGCTCCAACCAGCTGAGCCACACTGTCCAGGGACAAATAATGACATGTAACCGGCATCACATCCCTACTGGGTTGCAGAGAATTTCCAGTTTGCCCTACCATAGTCACTTCCGCCGATTCCTTAAGCTTCAGTTTAAAACGCTCCCTTCTCCATCACATCACGTCAGTCACCTGGGGAGGATGTTATGCTGTGTCCTGTGCCCTTGGGGTACAGTACTGGCATCATTCAGGAGTGGCATTGTGGTGATATGTTTGCATGGTCGGGGACCATGCCTTTTGTCCCTGTAGAACTAGCATCCATCATGGATTCTGGCACATAGATTCTAGTTTCAGCACAAGGTAATTGTCTCTCTTCTTAAAGAAAATAATTAATCATCATCCTTCTATGACTACTGTTTGGGCAAATATCAAAACTGACATTGTGACATTTAAACATGTATATTTCCGAGGTACACACGTAAAGGCATCATGGTCATAACCCTACAAAATCTGCATTCAGTGTTTTCATAGGTCAGTTGGGATATTCTAGAACCATTTTCACCTTACTCAGGCCTAGAATAGGAACGCTACCAGACCCGGCAATGAAAAGTGGGAGCCAGTTTGTGGTCAGAATCTATGGAAGGAAATGTAACTGCCACGTGACAAATCAGTGGAGTCGGGAAGTAGGTAAAAGAAGTGTCTCCAGGGTCCACTGGGTGGGGGGGGAGGGGGCAGTGGTCATGGGTCCACAGGCAGAGCTGGGTTTAAGTTAGAAGTTGCCCACTTGGTTATCACTGGCCTCAGAGCAGGCCACTGTCTGGAGCTCAGCTTTGTCTCGTATAAAAGGAAGGTAAAGTCGATCCCTTTTAAGGTCAAGCGTGGATTAGAGGAAATTATGACAGCACAGTAGGTCCCTGGCGATGGAGCGCATTCAGTGCACTTGAGTTCATGCCTTCCACCCGCACCGCAGTCCTCAAGCAATTCCTTGCAATTTCATTGTTTTCTCACTCACTCTGGTTGTAACGCTGAGGTTTTGCAACCCTCCCTTAGTATCACCTTTTAGAGAAAAAGAGAATACTCTTTTGCCATATCTTTTTCAGCAAGGACCTGCTATATAAGTTAGCAGAATTTCTGTCCTGGTGGGACAATATAGGGTGAATTGTTTAATTTTGAGATTTATATATTTTAATTGAAGCACTTAAGCCATTTATATTTAAAGTGATTATTGCTAGATTTTTAAAATTTTATTGCCATTTTATTTTTTCAATATTTTCTTCTGGTTTTTTCCTTTTTCTTTTTTCCTCTTTTTAAAGCAAACCCTTTAACATTTGTTGAAATACTGGTTCGGTGGTAAGAAACTCATAGCATTTTCTTGTCTGAGAAGCTCTTTATTTCCCCTTCATTTTAAATGTTAGTTTTACTGGGTAAAGTAGCCTTGATTGTAGGTCCTTGCTTCCCATCACCTCTAGTATTTCATGCCACTCCCTTCTGGCCTGAGACAGTTCTCTTGAGTAATCAGATGGCAGTCTAATTGGTGCGCCCTTGTACGGAACTACCTGCTTTTCTCTTGTGGCTTTTAAAATTCTCTCCTTGTCTTCAAGCTTTGCCATTTTAACTATGATGTGTCTTGATGTGGGCTTCTTTGGGTCCATCTTGTTTGGTACTCTGCACTTTCTGGACTTCTGTGTCTTTTTCCTTCACAAGGTGAGGGAAGTTCTTGGTCATTATTTCTTCAAATAGGTTGTCGATCCCTTGCTCACTCTCTTCTTCTTCTGGTACCTTCATTATGCAGACTTGTTACATTTCATGTTATCCCAAAGGCCACTTAAACTTTCCCCAGGGTTTTTTGATTCTCTTTCCTTTTTGCTGCTCTTATTTTTTTCTCCTACTTTGTCTTCCAAATTGCTGATTCAGTCCTCTGCTTCATAAGATCTACTTTTTTTTCAGTGTATTATTTACTTCAGATATTGTGTTGTTTATTTCTTTCTTAATATTTTATTTGTTTTTTTAGAGAGAGGAGATAGAAGGGAGAAAGAGAGGGAGAGAAACATTGAAGTGTAAAAGAAACATTGATTGGTCGCTTCTTGCATGCCCGCAACCAGGGACCTGGCCCACAACCCAGGCATGTGACCTGACTGGGAATCAAACCAGTGACCTTTCTGTTAGCAGGTTAGCACTCCACCTGCTGAGCCACATCAGCCAGGGCACATTCTTCATTTCTGACCCTTTTTAATGGTTTATCTGTCTTTTTCATGCTGCTGAGCATACTGACAATCATTACTTTAAACTCTCTCTCTGATAAATTGCTTGCTTCCACTTCACTTAGTTCTTCTTCTGGAGAATTCTCTTGTTCTTTCATTTGAGGCCAATTTTTTTTTTTATCTCCCCATTGTGGCCGCCTCTTTGTGTTTGTTTCCACGTTTTGGGTAGGTCTGCAAAGACTCTAGTTCAGTCCTGTGTCAGATGCCGCCTGTGAGTGGCCCAGGACAACCTGTTTGGAGTTATCCATGACCCACAGCTTGTAGCTCCCCCTGCTGGGCCTTGGGTGAGGGCTGAAAGAATCAAGCTACACACCTAGACCAGCTTTTACCAGCCCCAGGCCTGGGGAAGGATCTGTTAAAGTTTCAAAGCGCCCATCTGCAGGCTTTCTGTTAGGCCTAATCAGTGGAAGTGCCTCCAGCTGTACTCCCCAGCTGGGCTTACACTCCACGGGGTGAGGCGAAGGGATTCCTGCAGGTGGGGCCCCTGCTTCCCCCAGGCTGGTGCTGCGTGGAGGGGAGTGCTCTGCCCGGGAGAGGCGGCCTCTGCAGTGTGGGGAGGGTCGCAGCACGGGGGTCCTGGTGGCTGACCCTTCGGCTCTCTCCCCGGAGCCACCATCCTCTGCTGGAGCCCCAGGTAAGTGGCTGCTAACGAAATGTGTGATGGGTGGATTAGAGAGGAATAACCTGAAGGCAGCAATAGGCTATAGGCAAGCGCAGGGCCTGAACTAAAGAAGGCAGCAGGAAGGGTGGAGGCCCGGGGCCCAGAGACAGAGGGAGTGGAGAATCGGGACTTTCTGCCACCTTTGCATTGGAGTAAGTTGTGACGTTACACGCAGAGAGTCGTGAGAATGGAGGCAACTAATGGAATAAAAAAAGAGTCATGAGAATGAAGGCAACTAATGGAATAAAAAGCCATCTGGTAACAGCAGCTGAAATATTATTTTAGCACCATGCAGGTATCTGTGATATAAGAGTATGTTTATATTTGAACAAAATTTTTACCTTAGCTCCTTAAACGGGTGGGCGGTTACAAGGGGTGTCTCCGCTGAATGTTCGAAAAGAGCCCCTTCAGGCCCTAAACGAAAAACAAAGAGGCACCAATTTTACAAAAGTGAAGTACATGACACCAAACAGAAAACATTTAGACCACATACTATGGCACGAGTAGGTTCTGGTCCTCATGGCTGAGTCTGTGCCAATGTTTGAGTTGAAGCGCAAAGAGTAGGCACAATCGCTCTCTTGCTTTTCCAGGGACACCATGATCTCAGTGAGTTCCTATAAAAATATGACTTTAAAGCAGTTTAAAATATGCAGGTTGATTTTAGATCTAGGAAGCACTATTAGCCCTCAAAATGAAAAAAGAAGTAATTTCAGTTGAAAACTGCGTAAGTCTGTATGTTTCAGGTAATAGCGATTTGACTCATTCTCTAGATTTTGTAAGTAAAATTTGCATCATGTGATGTGTTTCTTAAACCACATCATGAAATTATAGAAAAAAATGAAAAAAGTTTCACTTCTGGGAATATATCCTAACAATCCCAAAACACCAATTGAAAAAATATGGGTCCATAGCAGCAGCATCATTTCCAATCACCAAGATAGGAAGCAGCCCAAGTGCCCACCAGTAGGTGAGTGGGTGAAAAAGCTGTGGTACATTCACACTGTGGAATGCTACTTGGCCATAAAGAAGGAAATCTTACCCTTTGCAACAGCGTGGATGGACGTGGAGAGCATTATGCTAAGTGAAATAAGCCAGTTAGAGAAAAACGAACACCCTACGATCTCTCCTGTATGTGGAATCTAATGAACAAAATAAACTGACGAACAACACAGAAACAGAGGCCTGGTTGCACGGAACAGCCCAACAGCTGTCAGGAGGGAGGGGGAAAGGGGACTGGATGAAAGAAGGGGACGGATTAGCCAAAGAACGTACATGCATAACCCATGGACACAGACAGCACTGTGGTGACGGCCAGAGGGTAGGGGCTAGCTGGAGGAGGGCAAAGCGGGGAAGGATGGGGACACCTGTAATAGTGTCAACAATAAAAATAAGGTTTAAAAAGAAAAGGAAGTGTTTTGAACATTGAAAATTGACTTTCTAATCCCTGGGAGTCGGCCCCCTCCCAGCTGCTCCTCTGACTCTCAGAGTTGCATGTAAACTCGGGGTGAATAAAAGTAGTGTTTGCCTCTGCATGTCTCCTCATCTTACAGAAGCTCGGCAAGTAAATTTGGAACACGTTCTGAATATTTTCCAAAATAAAATTTCTTCTTTTCAGTCCTAAAAATGAGTCCTGTCAGAGGCCCGCCTTATCTTTATTTCAAAGAAAGAAATGCTTTCTGTAAAAATATAGGGAATCCAAGTACCGGATACCATGGGAATAAAAGCGACTTGGAAGAAGGTTCTTTTGCAAACGTCACGTGGGAAACAGATGCTCTAATATTCCCCAGATGGGGGAGGGATTCACGATGAGCCTTTGGCCACAGCAGTTGGAGGGACATAAAGGGTGACAATGTGGCTGAAGAAAAGATCTGAGGAGGGTGCCGTTGTTCTAGGAGAGCCCCAAAGAAATGTTGTCAGACAAGTCAGAGCCCTGGCAGATGGCTCAGGTGCTTGGAGTGTTGTCCTGTGCACTGAGAAGTCGTGGGTTCAATCCCAGTCAGGGCATATGCCTAGGCTGTGGTTCTGTCCCTGGTCAGGGTGTGCAGGGGGGACAACAGATGGGTGTCTCTCTTTCTCATCGATGCTTCTCTCCCTCCCTTCCCCTCTCTCTAAAATCAATAAGCATGACCTTGGGCGAGGATAGAAAGAAAAGAAAAAAGAAAGTCAACAAATTCAAACTACTTTTTCTTATCTGCCCCAGAGATTCCAGAGTAAATGCATGAACAGTACCGTTGCTTTTGCAGAGATGTACTCATGGGATGTTGTTTTCCTCAAGAGGGAACAAAGATGTGATATGGGATATTACTGAGCCTTAAAAAAGATGAAAATCGTTCTATTTGTGACAACATGGATGAGGCCTGAGAGCATGATGCTGAGTGAAATAAGTCAGACAGAGAAAGACACATACATTATGATCTCCTTTATATGCAGAATCAAAGCCAAAATAAACAAAGCAAAACAAAACAACCAAAGTCATAGATTGAGAGGACAGCTTGGTGGTTCAGCAGGTGAGGGGGCAGAGGCTGGATAGGGTGGGTGAAGGAAATCAAAAGGTCTAAAATTCCAGCTATAAACTAAAGAAGCCACAGGGTGCTATCTGCACCAGAGTTCTGTAGTTGTGATACTCTATCATCTATTGGAAAGTTGCTTTTCGGTGAATTTTAAAAGCTCTTACTGCAAGAACAAACTTGTAAGTGTGTGTGCTGATGGCTGTTAACTGGGACTTATTGTGGTGATCACGGCATGAGCTGTACAAATGTGGGGTCATGGTGCTTAAATGAACATAAAGTTAGATGTTGATCACATCTCAATGAAATGAAAAGAGCTGCCACATACCTGTTACTCGCAGTCTGTCCGTGCCGACCAGAACTTGGCTTTCGTCCACAGTGAACAGCGGCTTCCCTTCTTTGGAATTGATGTGAAACTGTGGACTCTGGACTTCTACCATTTTGGGACCTGAAGGATCAATTAAAACAGGTTATTATAAAGTGTTCACTACACTCAGCGTTACAGTCTCTGTTTTCACATGTTCCCTGACATCCCGCACTAGCAAGTTACGAAATACTTAGAATTTGCTACCAAGAAGTTTTTTTAATGTTATGATTAAAATTTTAAGTTCCAAGTCTCAATCTATGATGTTACTTAATTTATGTTAAACCTGTGCTAATCTATATGAAATATATGTATGCCTAAATTATTTAAAAGTTCACTTTTTCAGGTTTCTGAAACTCGCCAACAATCCTTTAATTCTTGCAGGCATCACTTAAATCTGCATTCTTTTGAGTGCTAACCAAATGAGGACTTCGTATTGTGAAATGCGAGACTTATGAAAGGCTCGCTTGAATGGCTATCGTCACCCCAGAAAGTGGCTCCCACTACGGTTACTTCCTCCCCCCTGTGCTCAGAAGAGGTCTTCCCCTCTAATCCCACGCAGAAACCAGGCCTCGCAGTGGAAGAGCATCCCCAGTCCCGCCCTCGCTAAGGCCTTTCGTCTCCTTCACTCCTCCTTCTTCTTCTTTCAGCGGCAGAAGCATCGCTTTCTCCTGCAAGTTTCATTCCTTCCCATGTGCGTTGGGCCCACTGCCTCCCTTGAGTTACTGCATCCAGCAGCTGTGTGACCGGCGCTGCAGTGGGCCGGGGATGCTGGTACCCTGGGGGGCGCTGGTGCCCTTGGGGGGTGCCAGTGCCTTCCTGGTGTGGAAGGGACCCTGCACTCATCATGTCATGTTTCGTCATTTCCCTCTGGCATCCAACCCTCCAACTCTGGTGGCATCATGGACTAACTCTCTAGAGCACAGATTTCCACCTTTGCTTAAAGAGCCTCAAGAGTTCCCTGCTTTTTCTGTTTGTCAGCTCTATAGTCTCAGCTAGAGAAGAAAGTTTACCGAGAAAACGGATCCCTTATGGTTTGTGCGTGTGAGCCCCTCCCTGGGTGCCTCACGGTGCTCCTGAACGCTGGCGGATCCCTGCCAGAAACTAAACAGCAGCTTTTTAAATTCATACACGAGTCCATTTGGGACATGCTCTCCAGTGTATTCTTACATTACATTATTAATTTGTATCCCAAAGCCCTTCAGTGATCTTCATTGAAGTGTGTGTGTGCCTCACTTATAAAGTGAAACTTTTTCCTGTTTTATCTTCTTTCTCTCTCTTTTTAAAAAGATTTTGTTTATTTATTTTTAGACAGGAGGAGGGAGGGAGAAAGAGAGGAGAGAGACATCGATGTGTGGTTGCCTCTCACATGCCTCTTACTGGGGACCTGGCCTGCAACCCAGGCATGTGCCCTGATTGGGAATGGAACCAGCGACCTTTCGGCTCGTGGGCTGGCACTCAGTCCACTGAGCCACACCAGCCAGTGCTGTCTTCTTTCTCCTAAGGAAGCCTGCCTTTTTTTTCTTTGATAGTTGCCTGTGTTTTTGCTCTTCCGAGCTGTCTCATGGACATAGTTACCCAGGGACTCAGTGCCCTCATTTACCTCTTCCGGGTCACTGACACACCTTACATATAAACACTGATTTCCATTACAGGATGAGTGTAAAGTTGTCTGAGATTAAAATTAAAAGGGAAGACAGTGGAAGTAATTTATCCAGTAAGATTTCAAAGAGTTTTGCTCATTGGAGTTTCATGTAACAATTTTGGGAGGTTTTACTGAGGATTTCTGTTAAATCATTAAGAATATAAAAGGAGTTTTTTACTTTTGGAACTTCCCAAGAAATAATGGCATACCCTTTATATATTATTAATTACTTGGCAGCATAGAGAAACTAGCAACAAATGTTTGTTGAATAAATGACAAAAAAGGGCAAAAATCCCTCAAACTTTTAAAAGCTACAGTCATTTAAAGAATTTTTAAAAATAACTGTCCTATATAATTAATCAAGAACAGATGATTCGATTTAGACAAGTTTTAGGACCATGAGTGCTAGATAAACTCCAGTTTTCTCTAGATCCACTGAGAATTTCATTGGGCTCAGTAATCAAGCAAAGTTGCACGTAAAAGAGAAATACAATTAATGATTTAGAATAAGTTAGAAAGATTAAGACAACATAAAATGTGGAGTTCTTGCATTAGTTTCGTAAAAGGGAGTCATCAGGTTAATGTATGGCTGTAGTTTCCGATGTAACATTATTCTGTTCTGTAAAAACAGCCATTACAAAGGAGAGACTGATTTTTTTCTGCTTCCAGTTGCAAGCAGGCACTGTGAGGACTGTGTTCCAAAGACCCAGGGTCCTGTAGAGTGAAGACTTAATTGCCAGGTCATAGAAAACACCTGAAGTTCATTGACAGGGCTGTGGTGGTCCATGAAGAGAAGGTGGAAGGTGCGGTCAGGACCCTAAACAGAATCCGCAACGTGGATGGGCTCACTGAGGACTTGGAGTGAAGCCCACACTGGGGGAGCCCGGCCACCCACGACAGAGGGAAAACTATGGCACTTGCAGGAGGAGGGTCTGCAGCGTGGAAACGACCCACAAGATCAACTTTTTGATGGAAAAGAACCAGGCAGCTGCCCAGGCCGCCGAGGCCTGCGGATGGAGAGTAGGCCCAGGAGGAAAATCCTTCTCCGCTGGGTCTGGACCTTCTTCCCTCCTGCCCCTCCATTTTCTCTTACCATTTCTTGCAATAGACCCACTCTCTCTCTCACACACAAAATTTTAAAAAAATAAATAAATGACAAACGTTGAAAGTTACAGTTTGTGTTGGCAGCACACCTCTCATTTCTTCTCCTATAATCAAAAATGCCATCCAATCTCTCAGACTTGGCAGAGCTGTGGAATGTTGATAGTGTAGAGAATGTACACACATTCCTTTCACCAGCTGGTTTGCTCTTTTGTTCTTTCTTTTTTATTGATTTTAGAGATAGAGAGGAACAGAAGGAGGGAGAGAGGAGATGGGGAGAGACATCGACGTGTTCCACTTACTCATTCGTTCATTGGATGATTCTTCTGCGTGCCCTGACAGGGACCAACCTGCAACCTTGGCAAATGGGCACAACATTCTGACCCACTGAGTCACCCCAAACAGGGCTGTTCTTTGCTCCAATCCTTTTTCTCACTGCGGAAAATTTCATGTGACTTCACTGCGATGTTTCCTGGTCTTAGCCAATTGGATGGGTGTACATAGCTCACCCAGGGGCGTTCGGCTGAAGATTGGTTGCACCAATTAGAATATTTCATTGTGAATTTAGAATTCATGACATTGAAGACTGAGTTAGTTGGTGTTGAGAACTGCAGCCAGTCAGATGGGGAACCAGAGAGGTCCCGGGGCTCCTGTAAAGCTGGAACAGATGCAGCCATGACACCCAAGGGAAAGGCCTGGCACATGACTCTAGAAAGGAAGGGTACAAGGCAGAGAGGGGGAGGGGACGAGTAGGGGGACAGAGGGAGGGAGGGAGGGAGAACTTTTGGATCTCAGCCCCTGGGCTGTTCTCTTGAGGCCAACTTCTTCGGTTGCTTTCCTTTGGTCCCTGAGATTCTTTTGCATCCTGCTAATAATCATTGTTTCATGTAGGACCTTGCATGGTCCTCAATTTCTGGGAATCAAAATAACTTTAATTAAAACACTTCAGACTATCCCCCAGGATGCTAAACAATCTCTGTGGTCCGCACAGCACAGTATTTTTTAAATCCATTCCTTGATTGTTCATGAATAACTTTGAATTCTTCAGAAGAGACAACAAACTCATCCACCAAGCTCACTGTTCAGACCGCCCGCCTGCAAGGCACCATGACAAAGCCCGACTCACCCACTGTGACCCTGCCTGTGACCTCTGTGTCAGAGCTGCGGGCATTGACCGTCACGTTGTGAGTGGACTGCAGCAGCAGAGGGGAGTCCTAGAAAGGATTTACCAGATTAGCCAAACATGCACTACTTAAAATTATTATGTCCTTATGTTGGTATAGAAGGTTAACATTTATGTAAACGAATTTCTCCATAGTCACTGATCCTGTGATCCTAACAATGCTTTTATACAATTATTTTGAAACCTTGAATTATGTTAAGGGGTAAATTATACACTTTTTTCATAAAATATAATAATCTTATGCTTGTGTATACTGGTTACAATGTGCCAAATCAATTCTCAAAGTGAAGGTTGAAACCAATCAAGTTTTAATGTGTTTTTTTAATTTTCCAAAGAATTAACATTTTATTTCTTATTATTTATACATAGGACATGATATGTGTATATATATATATAATTTATTTATTTTTATAGAGTGGGAAGGGAGGAAAAAAGAGAGAGAGAGGAACATCAATGTGTGGTTGACTCTCATATGTCCCCCACTGGGGACCTGGCCTACAACCCAGCATGTGCCCTGACTGGGAATCGAACTGGCCATCCTTTGGTTCCCAGGCCCATGCTCAGTCCACTGAGCCACACCAGCGAGGAACATAATTTATTTTAAGAAGATAAATCAGAGAATGTTTAGCTCTTCTATAATAAATACCATGTTACTTTTAAAATGCAAAATCTTCTCACCATTGCAAAAAAGCTTTTAAAATGTGTTGGATGCCTACACATTTTTTTTAGCTTTTGTTGGAAGATAAAGAGGCTTTATACGCATGTTAATACTTTCTGCAGTATTGGTTTCAAGTGGCAGGTTTTGTTTAACCGCAGATTGCTTGCTCTTATAAAAACAGTTTCTCCCAGAGGAGTGAGGTGATTTGGCTGTTGGATCCAAGTGGGTTTATAGTTCACTGGGAGGAAACCAAATATCTTCCAAAGTTGTGGGGAATGACATGATTTTTCAGAAGTAAGGAAGTTTTAGGAGTGCTTTGCAACTCGCTCCAGCTGGTCAGAAATTCTCCCCCTTGCTTTGTGGAAGCAGACGGATTGACCAGCCTCTTGCCTTTTATACAATAATGTGACCTTCCCACTTGCTTTTGCACTGTTATAAAATGACTAGCAGGACAATGAGTTAAAAACTCGCCCACAGTCTCAGCATCCACCCTCTCACTTCATCCTCCACACTGGAAGCAGGTGCCACTACTTCTAACACGCAGGTGACCAGATTGAGTTCCAAGAGATCAAATTAGAGCTCGCTCAAAGTCACGGCCACCAAGCGACAGCTCCATGACGGCACCCCATCTTTAGATGCCAACCCTGTGCTCTTTCCTGCCCTCCCCGAGGATGGGGGGTGGGTCTCAGGCTGGAGTGGCAAGAGTCCCCCCCCCCGGCCCCCACAAAGTCCACTCTTCTGGGAACAGCTGGGCTGTCCCATCCAAGGTGTGCTCTCATGCCCTTTCCTTCCCCCTCCATTCTGCCGGGGGGAGGCTACATCTCACTGTGGGTTTAACGCCCATTGCTCTGAAGATCTGCGATGTCCAGCATCCATGCACCTGTCTATGGGGCCTCTGCGTGTCCTCTCTGGGGACATGTCTAGCCAGGTCTTCTGCCCACTTTTTAATTGGGTTGTTTGTTTTTCTGGTGTTAATCTGTCAGAGTTCTTTATAACCTTTGGGTACTAACCCCTTATCGCACACACTGAGGTGTGTTCCCCCACAGAGTAGGTCGTCTTTACATTTTGTTGACGGTTTCTGTTGCTGTGCAAAACCTTTTTCATTTGATGTAGTTCCAATTTTTTCTTTTTCTTTTGCTTCCCTTGCCCAGGTAGATAGAGCAGGAAAAAATATTGCTAAAAAATATTCCAAGGTTTTCACTCCAACTTTCTTTTCATTAGTTTTAGTACAGGGTATCTTTCTAAAAATTCTTTTACTCTTAACCTCTTTGTGTCTTCATAGGGAAGATGGGCTTTCGTAGGTGGCATATAGTTAGTCTTGCTTTTTCATTCAATACGATAACATCTGGCTTTCAGCTGGAGTGTTTAGACCACTTATATTTGATGTGATATTATGGATGTGGCTCAGTTCAAATCTACCAACTTGCTATTTGTTTTCTTCCTATTCCACCTGCTTTGTGTCCTTTGCGGGCTTCCTTTGGGATTGAGAGAGGCTAAACCTGTTCTCTGTGATTTCTGCCCTGTATTATTATTTTTGTTTTTTTTAAATATATTTTATTGATTATGCTATGGCAGCTGTCCCATTTTTTTCTCCCCTTTACTCCCCTTTGCCCTGCACCCCTTGCCATGAGCACCCCCACGCCTTAGTTCATGTCCACGGGTCGTACATATAAGTTCTTTGGCTTCTCCATTTCTTATACTATTCTTAACCTCCCCCTGTCTATTTTGTACCTTCCAATTATGCTTCTTATTCCCTGTGCTTTTTCCCCTCTTCCTCCTCCCTTCCCCTGCCCACTGATAACCCTCCATGTGATGTCCATTTCTGTGAATCTGTTCCTGTTCTAGTTGTTTGCTTAGTTCCTTTTTGTTTTTGTTTGTTTTTGCTAGGTTCAGTTAGTGATAGTTGTGAGTTTGTTGTCATTTTACTATTGATATTTTTGATCATCTTCCTTTTCTTAGATAAGTCCCTTTAACATTTCATATAATAAGGACTTGGTGATAATGAACTCCTTTAACTTGACCTTATCTGGGAAGCACTTTCTCTGCCCTTCCATTCTAAATGAGAGCTTTGCTGGATGGAGTAATCTTGGATGGAGGTCCTTGCCTGTCATGACTTTGAATACTTCTTTCCAGCCCCTTCTTGCCTGTAAGGTTTCTTTTGAGATATCAGCTAACAGTCTTATGGGAACTCCTTTGTAGTAACTGTCTCCTTTTCTCTTGCTGCTTTTCAGACTCCCTCCTTATCTTTAATCTTGGCTGATGTAATTATAATGTGCCTTGGTGTGTGCTTCCTTGGGTCACACTTCTTTGGGACTCTCTGAGCTTCCTGGACTTCCTAGAAGTCTATTTCCTTTGCCAGATTGGGGAAGGTTCTCCTTTATCATTTGTTCCAATAAGTTTTCCATTTCTTGCTCTTTCTCTTCTCCTTCTGGAGAAGAACCCCTATGATTCAGATGTTGGAACATTTACAGTTGTGCTGCAGGTCTCTAAGTCTCTCCTCATTTTTTTGAATTCTTGTTTTTTCATTCTGTTCTGGTTGAATGTTTATTTCTTCTTTTTGTTCCAAATCATTGATGTGAGACCCAATTTTGTTTCCTTCCCTGTATATTTTTCTTTACTTACTTTGCATAGAATTCCTTTTTTTTTCTCTATTTTGTGATCATATTCAACCATTTCTGTGAGTGTCCTGATGAGCAGTGTTTTGAACTCCGAATTGGATAGTTTGGCTATCTCTTCTTAGCTTAGTTATATTTTGGGGGCTTCGATCTGTTCTTTCATTTGGGCCATTTTTTTTTTTTTTTTGGTCTTGACAAGCTTGTTACATTGTAAGAGGTGGAGTCTTAAGTGTTCACCAGGGTGGCGCAACCTACGTCACTGGACTGTGGCGCTGTACATGGGGGAGGGGTCCGAGAGGGAACAGTGCCGCTTGCTTGGCTCTTGTCTTCCGCCCTGTATTATTGTACCTACTTCAATTTCATAATTTATTCTTTTAATGAAAGCTACTCAAAAACAGCTTTATCTCCTTGGGATTCTTAAGCATGCTTTTCTAGCCATTTCCAGATTGATGACTTTTCCTTAGTTGGAAGTTAACTCTCTTTATTGGAATGTTTTATGACATCATTGTTTTTAGATGAAGTGGACCATATATGGTGTGAAGTTTCAGTCTTAGACTGTCCACGTGGATATAATTTCAGTTTTGCACTTACCCAGCCTGTCTGACGTTTTAGCATGCTTTCTGCCCAGACCCCGGATTTGTCATAGTGGCTCAGGGCTCTGTCCTTAGCGATATTCAGGACTTGGCCTGGCACCTCTGTGAGTTGCTCCCCACAGATACTCAGCTCTATGCACGCTTGGGCCGTAGTTGCAGATACTTTCTACCACGAGTTGCTGTCTCATGCAGTAGGTCTTGGCGGCAGCCCCATCTTGTCGATGCCATTTCAGCCTTTTTCCCTTAGACTGTCCTCACCCCACCAGGGTTGTGAACTTGAAAGACAATCGTTTCAAGTAAAGCTTTACCTCTGTGTTTCTGTTTCCTTTCATGTTGGACTAATATATTTTTAAATACGACCTTTTTGTTTGATCAGATATACTTGCCGTGTGTTTGGGCCAGGCGAATGGGTTTAAATCATAAACTCCAAGCTCAGTCTGGACAAGACCTCATGTAACAATTTTGCGGGGTTAATTGAGTCATCACATGCACCTTGTGGAATTATATTTATACTAAAAAAGTTAGCCCAACGATGCAAATAAATGGATTTTTCAAGTTCACAAGCTAATTTCCATAATTGCATTAAAAGTTGCTCCCTAGACCCACCTTCAAAAATGAAACATGAATACTACGTCAATGCACATGAAAATTACAGGGCACCATGCAGTTCTGCCAACCCAGTTGTTGAAAGTCACAGTAGATACAACACACTTTGAGCTCTGTTATCACATAATAGCATCCAAGTGTTTGTGTGGTTTTATGTATTGATCGACATGCATCGTTAACCCATCATCATGAGACTTTAGTTTGTGACGACTTCAAATAATTTACACAATTTGGCTCCCTGGTCTTTAAAAAGTATACTGTAGTTGAAAGAGTCTAAAAAGGTACAACTAAAAGTATTACAAATTCCAGGATATTAAATATTAAATCTAATCACTTAATATCAGTCCCTGGGCTAGTTCACCAGTCTTACTTTTTAAAAAGATAAGGGGATCAGCCAGCGTAACTCTGGGGCGGGGGAAGAAAGGCTAACTTCTAATATTCAAAGGTTTTGCCCACACCTGGTCTCTGTTTTTATGAAAGCTGGCACTCATTCTGCATGCCCCCATGTGACAGGGTTGTTGACGCAGCCACACGCCACGGGGACGGATGTGAGTGTAACCTCTGAATAAGCTCAGAGGATCAGCCCACCGGTCAGCAGCCCCGATCTCGCGGGGCCGTGGCAGCCGGGAGAGCTGTGCCCGGGAACCCCTTCTCCGATCTGCAGGACGTCTCCCTGGCAGCGCATTTCCGCTGTGAGCTTTACGCCACGTCACCTGCGGTTGGCGGCGGGGTTTGGGGATGGCTGTGACGTGTAGGGCAGCAGCGTGCTTCCTCTCTCTTACAAGACCACGTGTTCCTCGGTGGTCAGCCTTCTGTTCCCTTCCTAACGGCCCTGAAACAGCTGCTACGGCCTCTGCATGTTAGACTTGCTGACCTCTCCTTTCCTTTCTAGAAAGGTGGGAGGAAAATGAAGAGTGTACTCTTCACACAAAAGTTTATCATTTCCTTTAGCTGATGCCACCTAACCAGGGGTTTAGCAAAATATTTCTCTCTACCACAAAGCCCAGAGTACCACATAAGGAAAAATAGAACATATTGCAAAAATTGTGGGAGTATATTTTGTGCTGGGCACTACTTGTTATAAATTTCATAGAGGTAAATGAATACAATACTGAGGCCAATTTATTTTTAAAGTCACACAATTATTTAATATGATATTTAATTTCTTAATGGAGAATCCTAAAGGACTGCAACCTGGATGGTTAGTATAATTACTACAGAACATACCACCATGACATGAATTTCATCCTGAGTTTTTCAGATAATCTCAACTGCCTCGAAAGAAGTGTATTTAAATTACTTGCACTAATGGAAAGTAGTTTATTCTTTTTGATAAAAGTTTTAATGACCAAACCTTTACTTTATTATGATCTAAATTACTGAGGCTACCAAACTCAAATTTGAAGCACTTGAAAAGGGAGCCTTTTTTTTTTTTTTGATGACTGTATTTATTTGTTTGTAGAGAGAGGGGAAGGGAAGGAGAAAGAGAGGGAGAGAAACATCATATGCCCCCAACCAGGGACCTGGCCACAACCCAGGCATGTGTGCTGATTGGGAATTGAACTGGCGACCCTTTGGTTCACAGGCCAGTGCTCGATCCACTGAGCCACATCATCCAGGGCAAAGGGAGCCTTTTTAGAATGTAATATCAGAAAAAAATTGCACAGCCTCAGAGCCGAGCCTTTTATAAGCAGTGTAGCATTCCTCTGTGTCTATGTGGACATTTGGAGAACTCTCTTCTGAACCACACTGAATTTTTCAGCTTAACCATTGTTTGTTTTCATACAGTACATTCATGCTTGGAATATTTCATCATTGTCTTACCACTCTGGAGCGTATTTCTTTGGCATACAACGGGAATAAGAATTCTGATTCCCCGTCCAGGTAAAGCCCGTTCTCTGTCACACGCAAGTGGCCCATCCCTGTCTGTGAGAAAGAGGAGACCGTTGAGGTTTTGTTACAGCTTTTATTTTCCTTTCTTTTAGCATCAGCTTAACTGACACATGTATTTTCATCCATCTCCTATCGGCTCTTTTCTGTATTTTTCCCAAAGGATCAGAGAATAAGAGACATCAGAGAAAGGTTGACGAGAGAACTGATCTGAACTCAGATAAAACTGGGCCTTAAACAGCCTTTAGGTGGTTGGGATGGTTCAACCTTGACTCAGTTTCCAAAGAATGTTAAATGAAAATATTTTAAATTTAGACTTAAAATGGAGGTTGTTGGGAACCGCCCTGCCTGGTTTCAGGAGCTGTAACTCCCCAGGCTAAGGCTGAGTGAGCAACCTTCGGACCTTATCTCCCTGGCAGGAGCGCTGCTTCTGCTTCATCCACCTCTGGCCCCCAACGCTTGGTCGGTTAGTCAATGATGGGTAAGACCCCTCAGAGAGGGGGCAACCTAAGCCAGACACAATCACTTGGGAGACCCTCAAGGAAGGACTTGGGGGGCTGCAGCAAAGAGAGGGTGATGGACCCTCACTCGCCAGCTTTGACGAGACCTGAGTCCTCAGTCTGTCTGCAAGAAGTCTCCAAGAATTCCTTGGTTACCTGCCTCCCCTGCCTGACTTCTCCCCTGCCTGACTTAAGTCCGAAACAATGGCAGAGGGTGGTGCAGCCCAGTGCAGGAAAGGGCGGGTCTCTGGGTGATTAGGCCTGAGATCTTTCTATGTAAAAATCCTGTGACACATGCTTTGCTAAGAATGCTCTTAGTTAAGTGGTAAAGGCCTGAGCAGAAAATGAGTTTGTTTTCCCAAAGTTTGTCGCCTTTTAGCTGATAGACCCTGACTTAGAAGAAGCCCTAATGGTTCTTTGTATACTACCTACTGTTTACTGCCTGACAATGATTAATAAGTTGTACCTGAACTCCTGGGCAAAAAAACAATAAAAGCCTGTCTAGGGAAGGGTCAGCATGTTCTCCCCTAGAGAAAGTGGCCTGCCCCTTTTTCTCCACAGGACTCGGGAGTCCGTGTGAATTTATCTTGATTATCCACCCGCTGCAGGCCAGTGCACGCGTCAGGGGGTGATGTACAAACATGCACAACACGAGTTGTGTTACTTTCATAAAGAAAAGCCGTCCAGTGGGTCTAACACTTGAAGCTGTAAAAATATTGTTGTCATAAATCTTAAAGAAGAAATCACAGCTTAAATACATTTATGTGTACCATTTATATGTAATTTGTTAGTATAATAATTTATAATATATTATATACTGGTATTAAATATTTTAATGCATTTATATTATATATATTACATTTATTAACACACATTTCAACTTACACTTTGATTGGATTGGCAGTTTACCTCTCTGAATACATGAAAATATATTTATTCATTGTGTCCATGAAAGAAATAATGTATGTACTGACTGTAGAATTATGGCAGGAAAGAAAGACAGGCACAGCCAGTGAGGGACCCTGAGTGACGGAAGGCACTGCAGACCGAACACTACAACTGTGGCTCCTGGGAGGGGCCGTGCCTGCACTCCACCTTCACCACGAGTGTGAGGAGCAGGTTGCCCCACCTCGCTCCATGTCCACACCACTCTTGTCTCACCGTAAGTGTCTTACATTCCATGTGAAATAAATACTTCTTCAAAAAGTACCCCAAATATTGTCAGAGCGTATAAAGCTACCTGGCCATCTCGGAAATGGGAGATTGTTTTTAAAATATGAATTTCTTAGGGCCACTGATATTTTATTTACTAAATATTAAAGTGTGGACATGAATTTATTGCATATCAGCATGGAGCTTTTTAAAAAATTAGGAAGTATCAAAATGGTAAATGTTTACTAAAAATGAATTATAAAATTTTACTAACAAATTAGATAATGATTAAACAATCATGACTCAACCATAATAAAATCAAAATTAGTACAGTTTCCCCATGTAAAGATAATTACTAATAAAAATTATAATAAAACCCAACAAAGTATAGTTCACACTGAAATCATTTAAAAAACTGAAAAAGCTAAATGTTATATGTATTTTTGCTACTGAAATTTCTGATTGAAACAAACATTAATTACACCGAAGGAAGCTTCTACCGATACAACATGGATGAACTGATGCAAAACAAACAAAACAAGAACATGTTTACCCACCAAAAGAAAAGAGAAGAAAAGGTACTTACTGGGGAAAACCACATCACTCTGAGAATCCAAATGGTAAGAGCAAAGTTCACCAGAAATACGATGAGTAAGAGAAGAACAAACAGGTAGAGGCAACGCTTTCTCCAGCCGTAGATACCGACTTTGCAGACGTGCTGATTCTCCGGCCTCTGTACGTCGGTGCCTTCCGTGGCTGTTGCGTACTGTTCACGCACCATCTGCCCCGGGGTGGGATCAGCGTGCAGGAAGAGTGGGGAGAGGGGAAGGGGGGCACGGGAGACCGGGAGAGAGGGAGGGACGACGCAGAGAATGTGTTTGTCCACACGGATTTACTCTGAGTCCAACAAAATATTTCTATCGCAATAATAAATTTCCAAAAGTATTGATTTAGTAAAGATAATTACGTATTACTTTGAAACAGGTCACTGTATTTTAACCACAGAATGGTTTTTAATTTGTCATGCAAAATGTCTTAGATATGACATACCCGTGTCAAGTCCAATGGCCTTATTTTCAGATATTAATCAATAGATTAATATATGTATATAGCTTGCTTTCAAAATTCTGCATGTTTAAACCTGTATTTGAATTATCAACCTAAAATAATTGAGTTATGAAGTTCTTAAAAGATTCAGCGGGAGGAAATCAAGCTGGTACTCCAATTCTCTACATGTCTTCTAAAAAAATAGAATCCAACTTACTCAATTTTATGTGAAATTATATTTCTTCAGCTACCAAATTGCTCAGAATTAAATAGACTCTTTGTAAGATACCTAGCACATTAACTTTTGCCTATAATTAAATTTCCAAGTATTGACCTACTTCAAGAAAGACCCAACTATGCATGCAAAAGTGGAGAAGAAAGGCATAATATTTGATTGGCCAATCTCTTTGTCGTTCAAATATATGCTTCTTTGATTTAGATGGTCCAAAGCGAATGAGAGTTCATTTATTGATTTACTATATAGCCTTTTAGAAAAAACACTATGTTACCTTTTTTAAAGGTTTTTTGTTTTTGTTTTTGTGTTCTGTCCAATTACTTAGAAATTACCTGCCAATGTGTAGAATATTTGATCACATAGCCGTATTTTCTGAAAGCTGTATCAACAACAAAATTTCACCAATATAGTGTTCAATTATGCAGTTCTTCAGGAAACCTTTTTTTTTTTTAACAGGGGAAAGTCTCACAGAGTTATTTATTGGCAGCACAACTTACGAGCATTTTCCTAATACCACCAGTGATGTAATAGTTCTCTTCCAAGTCCCATAATGCTATGCGACTGGGATTCCCAGAGTTGTGAGTGTTCACCTCCGTCCTGTACCGGTGGGCTGCCTTCTCACAGCAGGCGCAATATAAGTCTTATTGGTGAATCATACATTTTGTGTCATGAGAACTGGGTTTCACAAAGGTTCTCGTAACTCTGGGCACTACCTTGCTTTCCAACAAAGCCTTTTTATCATCATTGGGCATCTAACATTCACAATCCATTCCAGTAACTGCACATTAACTGCTCCAGTACATCCCCAATGTATGATGTTTAAATATCATATATATGATGTTTAAATATCATATATATCTGGAGGCATCTGGTTCTTTGGCACTCGTCAGCATGGCTGTGAAAGGAAAATGCGCAGCTCCAATAACAACAGCCATAGTTAGCGCAGAGTACGCACTCTGCTTACTACTGTAGTGTATTCAGTACTGAGTTCACAGTCTTTCGACTTAAAAATCAGATCATGTTAATAGTCCAAAGAATATGTATTTACAGACTCCGAAGATGCTACATCCTCACAAAGTTCTAGAAGCTATAACTAGAGGCACAACTTGTATCAGATCAGAACTCTATGATATCATTAGTATAATCAATCAAGACTGAAATACCAATTTACTGAAATTATGATATAAATTATCTATATACTATTTATGTATTTTCCATTTAGATACATATTAAAATATTTTAAACGGAGCCATTATGTTAAAAATATTTTCACCATCAATTCCCCATTATAGAATAAAACCAAACATTTAAAAATATATTTGTCTCAAAATGTTTTGATAACAGAATATGATTTAATCAAAGTAATTGCCAAAATAGTAATGACCTTTAATTTGCCTATATTAAGAGTAAAGGGAAAATTCTTTAGTTCATTTTAGCCACTCTTTAAGGTGGAATTTATACAGGCAGTTCTTCTGGTAGCTTAAACTTATTTCCCTACTTCTGAACCCAACCAAATCAATCTAAAATGCAAAACTTTATCTTCCGTTCCCATTTTCCTATCTTATTCAACATCCAACAAACATTGCATTTATGTTCCCATATTATTTGTCTCAACTCTACATTTTTTCTTGTTATTTCTCTGCCAGCCCTCGTGGCTGTAACACTACCAATATTTGTTGACTTAATGCAGGAATACAGCACAAAGACAAATTCTCCATTGAACACCGTTTTTAATGTTGTTCCACGGGATTATATTTTGGTCCTACCTACAGAAGTAAACCAATGAAGGGAGGAAAATTATTTCCTGAAATATTCATGCAAAAATAAAAGAGCCTTAAAAACAGGAAGCTTTAAGCAGGTAACTACCTGCAGACGCTGCAGGGCACCACTGGGCTTCCTCCCTACAGTGCACACCTGAGTCCCTGCCCTGGCCCTGCCTCTGGCTGAACACGTGGAATTGAACATGAAGTTGGAGTCTGAAGTTTTTAAGTATCAGGGGTGAGGAATTTGTCAACGCCCGTGGGAACACCATGGAAATACCTGGTCCTGCAGCTGGTCGAGAGAATAATAAAGCTTGACAGGTGCAGGTGCTGGCTAGGCGGAGAGGAGGGGGAGGAAGGAAGAGTGGACGGAAACCTAGAAGCAGGTTCAGAGCGCAGAGGCGGGCTCTGAAGGAGCAGAGCGGGATCCCACTCAAGACGGCAGGTTTTTCCTGCCTGCTGGGAAGCCGAAGCATCGGAGGGCGTGGTTGAGAAGCAGCGAGGGGCTGCGATGAGCCAAGCAGAAGAGGGAGCAGGGGACACCCGTGGGTCCTACAAAGTGTGTAAGATGAAGCCACATGGGCACCCAGTCCTAATTTGCCATTATTATTTTTTTAATGCTATTTATTTTATTTTTAGACTGAGGGGAAGGGAGGGAGGAAGAGAGGGAAACAATATGTGGTTGCCTCTGGTGCGCCCCCTACTGGGGACCTGGCCTGCAACCCAGGCCTGTGCCCTGCCTGAGTGGGAATCCAACCAGGTGACCCTGTGATCTGCAGGCCCGCTCTCAATCCACTGAGCCACACCCACCAGGGAAACTCGCCATTATTAAACAACTTTCATAATCCTGTATAATAGCAGTTTCACCTAATGACTAAAAAGTATAGTTTTTACAGGGCAATATGGAAAGATCTTATTTTCAGCATCTCAACTCCAAGCTTAGCCAACATCTTTTGGAAACTTGTAACTGTTAGTCTTTGGAATTTGATATGTAAATACATTAAAGTATTACTTTTCATTTGCGTTTGCAAGAAAAACCTTAGAAAGCTCTAGAACTTATAAAACCAGCACTTACTGGAACCATTCGTTTTGAAACTTCGTTAAGTGTGCCGGTTCGTACCCATCCCCACAAAATGTTTCCAAGAAAATAAGCGAAAGATAAACATAGCACATTCTGTACTTCATCTTGCACTGGTGAGTTACTCATCCTGCTGGCAAAACCTTTCAGCCAGTTGAGTTATATTTTCCCTTGTTATCTTTCTGTACGTGTTCCTTTAAAAACTTGTTTGGGGATCGCCCCACATTAACTTAGGAAACACAGAGAAAGACAACTGCAGTGAGCCACAGCATCGCATGTGTTTACTTTTACTCTATTTACATTTACTTTTCCAAATATATAAAATACCCACAGTATGAACAACACTTTCTTTCTTTCCAGATTTGGGGAGGGAAACAGTCCTCCTTTTTTCACTGCAAGAGTAGTTGGGGGCCGAGTTGGTGTTTTGCTGTTGCTCATTCCCAATTCATCCGATGGCTGGGATTTTTGTCCTCGTTGATTCTAGTCTGTTTTTTTAAGGTCTGTAGCAAACTGGTGATAAAATGTAATGCCAATAGAATTCCACCAAGAAGTAAGTGTAAGGGTAGAATTAGAAAATCGCTGATTTTAAAGGTTGTAACTTGTCTGGTTTTACCACAGTACACAATGTATACTTGATAATATATAAATGCTATCATGGTGTTGTACAGATTAAAATATTAGGAATATAATTCTACTAAAATACATAACATATTAGTAATCGGAACAACTTAGAAGAGGTGAAATAAGAAGTAAACTACATTTTGTTGATACTTAATCATTTGGGGATAGACTTACTCAATGTTCTAAATTTATTTTGTTAACTGTCATGTCACCTACGAAGGAAAAAATGAAGACATCCTGCCTCTGTTTGGTCTGTAAGGTGTTCATTGTGATTGTATAAAATGCGAGTACAAGATGATCGCTTACCTTAGACGTAGTGAAAAGTTCGCAGGTGAATCGGCTACAACCAGCACAAGCTCTAGCAGCGACTGGCCGGCTCCCCCGTTCCCATCCCCGGCAGGAGGGGCAGAGGGAGCGGTCGGGGCTTCAGCAGCCCGGCCGGGCAGAAAAGGCATCCAGCGCTCCGCCGTCTCATGTTTCACCCCCTCCTGTTAGCAACAGGCGCGTGTCTAATTTTACTCAGTGACATAAACAGCTCATACCAGCTTAAAATTGTCTGGGCACCGGTTCCGGCACACAGCTCTAAGTAAGCCAAAAAAAAAAAAAAATTCTTACAAAATCGACGTCTCAACCCTGAATCGTGATAGTCTTATACAACTTTCTAAAATAAACTAAACTTCAAATGAATAGCAAAAAGGCTTCCAAGATACTTTCCAGTAGAATTGAATGTTTACAAAAATCTCGTGAAAAATCACTTCGGATTAACATGCAACTCTTAGAACTTACAACTTTATCAGCACCGAGTTCGCGTGCACTGTTCTTGTCCAAGTGGTCTCTGCAGCACTAGTCAGCCCTCTTTAAAAATCGCTTTCTTTAAGCCTCTTTTTAGGTGTAAAACTCTAATATTTGAGGAGAAAACCTTCAATAATGATCATAATAAACAATATATACAACCTGTAGGCTAAAACTATGTGTTCTTTTCTAGTAAACTAAATCATATATATAAAATTATATATATGATTATAATTTATAACTATAATTATTTATAATTGTATATATAATTAGTTAATTCAATGAACAAATGGACCTCAGGCTCCATCTGGTTCAAGTCTGCCTTTCACGAGTGAGGGAAACAGTTCTCTGAGTGAATAAAGGGGAAAGCCTGTTTGATGTTGAAGGAATTAATTTTCTCTAAGCTCTCCGTCCCCCGGTAGAAGAGGCCCACCTGACTACCCACATCAGGACGGTCTGTTCACAGAGTCATCCTGTCTTCTGACCCCCCACCCTGTTCGGACAGGGCCATCTCATCACAGAAGTTCCCGGACTCCGATTCTTAGAACTTTCTTTATTTTTTTTAATTTTTTTTATTTTATTGATTATGCCATTACAGTTGTTCTATTCCCCCCACCCTGAACCCCCACCCCTACCATTCCCCCCTTTAGTTTATGACCATGTGCCTCAAGTTCTTTGGATTCTATATTTCCCCTTCTATTCTTGCTCTCCCCCTATCTATTTTCTACCTACCGTCTATGCTACTTATTTTCTGTACCTTCTCCCTCCTTCTCTTCCCACTCCCCTGTTGCTAACCCCCCATGAGATCTTCATTTCTATGGTTCTGCTCCTGATCTAGCTGTCCTTTTAGCTTGCTTTTGTTTTAGATGTGGTTGTTAATAACTGTGCGTTTGCTGTCCTTTCACTGTTCATATTTTTTATCTTCTTTTTCTTAGGTAAGTCCCTTAAACATTTCATATAATAAGGGCTTGGTGATGATGAACTCCTTGAATTTGGTCTTATCTGAGAAGCACTTTATCTGTCCTTCCATTCTAAATGAAAGTTTTGCTGGATAGAGCAATCTTGGTTGTAGGTCTTTGGATTTCATGACTTGGAATACCTCTTTCCAGCCCCTTCTTGCCTTGTAAGGTCTCTTTTGAGAAATCAGCTGACAGTCTGATGGGAACTCCTTTGTAGGTGACTATCCCCTTATGTCTTGCTGCTTCTAGGATTCTCTCCTTTATTTTCATCTTGGCTAATATAATTATGATGTGCCTTGGTGTGTTTCTCCTTGGGTCCAACTTCTTTGGGACTCTCTGAGCTTCCTGGATTTCCTGGAAGTCTATTGCCTTTGCCAGATTGGGGAAATTCTCCTTTATTATTTGTTCAAATAAGTTTCCCACTGATGGCTGTTCCTGTCCCCCTTCTGGTACCCCTATAATTTGGATGTTGGAGCGTTTAAAGATGTCCTGGAGGTTCCTAAGTCTCTCCTCATTTTTTTGAATTCTTATTTTTTCATTCTTTTCTGGTTGGTCATTTTTTTTCCTCCTTCTGGTCCACTCCTTTGATTTGAGTCCTAGTTTCCTTTCCATTACTATTGGTTTCCTGTGCATTGCCATTCATTTCAATTAGTTTAGCCTTCATTTGCTCCTCTAATTTGTGACTAAAATCAACCAGTTCTGTGAGCATCCTGATCACCAGTGTTTTGAACTGTGCATCTGAAAGTTTGGCTATTTCTTCTTCGCTTAGCTTTATGGGCTCTGGGGCTTTGAGATCTTCTTGAGCCATTTTTGGTCTGTTCAGGCCCGTAAAGTATGAGGAGCGGAGCCTTAGGGGCGAGGCGGGGCCTCCAGGGCGGGGTCACTGGGTTGTGACCCTGTATGTGGGGGTGGGGTCAGAGCTGGGAAATGGCAGCCTTCTCTGCTGCTGCCCGTCGCTGGGACCCACTCAGTCCCATCTCACTGCCCACTCCCTCGCTGGTCTATCTGCGCAGGAAGGCGCCAGCACAGTCAACCGGCCGCCCTTCACCCTCCGGATCCGCTGGTCGCTCACTGGGTGGCTCACTAGGTCGGCCCTTTGCAACCCCACGCCTGGGATCCGCGGCCTGAGTCTGTCTGACCGAGTTTTCCTGTGCAACCCTGCTCCACCAGCTGCTGGTTTCACCCCTCTTACCGGTCAGGCTGAAGCATTCGTTGTTATCAGACTTCTGAAAAGTTCAATTTTCTGTGTTCTGACTATGTTTTCTGTTGCTAATATTTTATTGTCTCTAAACTTGGTTGTGCGAGAAAGCACGGCGTCTCCACCTCTGCCTCCATCTTGGTGGAAGTCCTCCGACTCTTAGAACTTTCTGATCGGTTCTCTTGGTTCTCCTGAGTAGCTGTCGCCACACACGGCCTCACAGAGTGTAGGCTAGTGTGCATCTGTGTGGGCAACATGGCGCCTCGGGACGTCCTGAAAGCCCGGCAGTTACATGACAGAGGCAATTAAAACCGTCCCCCAGGAGACCAAAACTGCACTGTTCCAAATGTTGGCTTCTGAACACAATAAAAAGGAAGTGCCTCTTCATGGGAACCGCCCTCCCCACATACTTCGTGCTGAAAGCGTCATCAGGCCCTGACCAGGGTGGCTTAGTGGGTTGGGCGTCATCCCACAAAGCAAAAGGTCACTGGTTCAATTCCCAATCAGGGCACATGCCTGGGTTTCAGCTCAGTCTCAGTTCCAGTCGGGACACAAATGAGAGGCAACTGATTGGTGTTTCTCACTTCCCCTCTCTCCAAAAATAATAAGTAAAAATTTAAAAAATAAAAAATAATAAAAGCATCATCAGGATTATGAAATCACAAGATTATGACAAAATTCTACAGCCAAATTGGGCTCATAGCAGCCATTGTTCATGTTTTGTATCACTGAACCAATATTTTCTGGCCGGTACATTCTGGATGTGTTGGTATAAAGTCATGAAACATTACAGCTGAAAGTGGCTTTCAATATTATCCATGGAGTTTTAAAATGGTGAAAAGGAGGAGGGTAGGCATGAATATTTATTCAGTAAAGAAATGGCATAATTTTAGAGTGGTGTGCAAAGTTACATCAGCAATTCCCAAGACTCATAACAGGTGAACCTATACTTTCCTACTAACCAGACATAAAGATCATCAGCACAAACATTTCATAGGAATCAAGAAACAGATGGTGTAACAACACAGTTAAGAAGGCAAACAATTAATATTGAAAGAAAGAAGATTAACATGAAGCAAAACGTTTTAAAACTGCCTTATGTTGTTTAAAAACATACTTTTAAAATGTTTTCGTATCTCATTTTAAAAAACAAAATGAAAAAGTCTTTCTACTAAAGACTATTAAAGTCTTTCATATTTTAATAGAGGAAGGCCTAAAATAGAACAAAAGAAATTCCCAAATTCGGTTTAAATTATGGTTGCTATAATTTAACATCATCCCTAAAATTAGGAATCAATCAAACAGGTGTGTAGAGATTCAGAAAGAACAACAGCGCTCTCTAGTGGCAATACTCTTGTATTTGCGTGAAAAAAATAAAACGCACTAATTCTCAGTACAATAAAATATACAATAGATAATAATGTTTTTAAAATATCATCCACTATTTGCATGTAGTCAGGTTGCATTTTTTGAACATGAGTTTATTATAATAGTCCAGAATACATGTATAACCGAGAATGTATAGAAAATTCAGTTCTGTCCTGGGGCTGGAGCTGCTGGAATTCTGTCTGTGGCCCTGAGAGCTCTGATGCAGGTGAATGGGGGGAGGGGGGAGGAGGTTAAGGCATCTGTGAGGAAGGGCAAGGGAAGAGCAAGGCCCTGCGAACTCAAATGAGGGAGTCGAGGCTGTGGCCATTCCTGAATTCAGGCACTGCCCAGAGACATCTGTGTGGCGTCTCAGTGGGGACAATCTCTGAGATGTATGGCCCTGTCCCCTAGAGCCGCTGTCCAGTCATATAAACTTGCAACTCGTAAGATATGTTCTTGAATAAAAAAATAAATGAATGAGTCAACACCCTGTCTAGGAGGTAAGGCACAAAAGCTGAGATGGTGGAGTGAAACCGGCTGTCGTGTGTTGGCAGATCAGCAAAACAGGTGACAGACGGTGAGCCCGGGGGCTGACAGTCATTGTGAAGTGAAGGACTCGAGAGGAATGTAAGGAAGTCCTTTCCAAGCCCATTAGATCCCAGGTATCATTCCTATAATGAAATGAAACAATTCTTAAAAACAAACCAGCTAGCATTTTTAATAATCTAATATTGTTTTTAAAAAACCCAAAGCCTCATTACTATTCAAATATTTTTTGTAATGCCCTCTTGTATTTTAAGTCGAAATCAAAGATTACATCATCTCCCTACACGGTGACTTTTAAAAATCAGTTAATACACAACTATGTTCTAGAAGAGAAATAAGGGAAAGTCAAGTTTTCTTTCTAAAAAACGTATTGTGATATAAGTAGTCGGGTGACGTAGTAAGTAGATCTGTGAGTGCAAGGTTAATGCAGGCTGATACTGGATTATGATTATCTGATAACAGTGTCTCATGTATTGTGCTCTTCTGAACAAATCTTGCCAAAGAGCTATTAAAAGTGTATAATTTTTTCCTCAGTTGGCTTGCCGGTCACACTTTTGAAAAATGTACTGTATCTTAACAAGCAAAAATTTTTTGTATTTACAC